CAGAGGGGGAGGCGCAACAACAAGGGAGGACGGAGGAGGCGACAGGAGGAGGGGAGGACGAGACGCGTGGGAACGAAGCAACATAGGGTGAGAGCGTGGGACAGGGGAGACAGGGCGAGCACGGGAGGGACGGCGGGACCAGACGTGAGACGGAGGCGTCGGGTCCGGAGACTGAGGAGGGGACACAAGAGGGGAGCGAGGGGGGAGACGAGCCAGAGATGAGTCCGGGGGAGGCAACACAGGGCCGTAGATAGGAAGAGAAGGAGGCACAGATGCGGGATCAGGGGACGGAAGGCCAAGCAGGCAAAGAGCAGACACCGGTGGGGACTGCGGCGGCGGCGGTGCGGCACCGACACCGGGACCGCAAGCTGCGCGACGGCTACCTCCGGAATACTCCACACCAGCAGCCCCAAAAGGAACAACCCCAGAGCGCAGAACCCCTCGAGCACCGGTACCACCCCCAGGTCTGCTGGGACAAGCCACGACAGGAGTCCCAGGACGAGTACCCACCCCAACTCCAGCACCCCCAGAGTCAACGAACTGCTGCTGTGACGGCTGCGGCGGCGGCGGCTGCAACGATGGTTGCGGCGGCGGCGGCGGCGGTGGCGGCGGCTGCGACAGCGGTGGCGATAGCGGCTGCGGAGGAGACTCCTGAAGAGGGGCAGGTGGCGAGGATTGCGCTGCAGGACTACAAGAGTCAGCAGACTCCTCGACCGGGACAACCGATGTAAGGGGGGTGACATGGGACACACCAAAGGGGGCAGGACGGGGAGGGGGAGGGGGAGGGGCAGGGACCACCGAGGAAGGGGTGACCAGGAGAAGGGGGGGAGTAACCGGGGAACCTCGGTAAGGGAAGCGGCGGTAGAAGGAGACGGACTCGTCAAAGGTGACGTTGCGAGAGTGGAAGAACCGGTGAGACGACGGGTGGTAGAAGTGCCGGTCGGACGCGTCAAGGGGGAAACTGAGGAAGACACACGGAAGGGTGCGGGCAGTGAGCTTGTCCGTGCCGGAGGCACGAACGTGAGCAAGGCAGCCCCAGACGCGGAATGCAGACGCGTCACCAGGTGACCCAGTCCAATGAAGGGTCGGCGAAACCTGCGGGTGCTGGGGGTGCGGCCACAGGTTAAGCTGGTGAGCAGCGTAGCAAACGGCGAACGGCCACAGAAAATGGGGTGCACCGGCATGGATCATGGAGGTACGAGCCACCTCCATGACCGAACCGATGCGTCACTCAGCGACCCCATTCTGTTGCGGGGAGTCCGGCAGGGTGAACGTCTGGGTGATGCCCTCCGCACGACAGAAACGACAAAGGACACCAGAGGCAAACTCGCCACCACGGTCAGAGTGGAGACGCAAGACAGGGAGACCGTGGTGGACACGCGGAGAGACAAGCCACAGGATGAGAACGTCAGGCACGTCGGCCTTCCGCTCCAGGGGAAACACCATGGTGTAGCGGGTGTAGTCGTCGACAAGCACTAGGAAGTAGCGCCCTCGACGCGGCCCATGGACGGGGGCGGGGCCCCGAACGTCCATGTGCAGAGTCTGTAGCAGTGCAGCGGTAGGGGGAAACGAGGAGGAGTGAGGAGCACGGCGGAGCCGATCCTCGACACAAGGCGTGCAAGGTGGGGCAGGGGAGGAGGGAAACTCAAGGAACGACCCAGGGAGGCCTAGGACGAGACCGTGCTGTGACATGTGATGCAGACGCGGGAGCGCAGCATGACCTAGGCGGTGGTGCCACAGGAGAGTCGGGTGAGTGAGTGACCGACAGGAGCAGGCAGGAGCAACCAGGGTAGACGTAGCCACCTGAGGGGGCGTCCCAGCCGGGGGGTTCACGGTGTCCAGTGTAAACAGTCCGGACACCGGGTCCCGGGGGAACGTGGTAAGGGGGGCACCAGTGGCGGCCTCGGTACAGACACCATACCGCTCGTGACCGAGGAACGTAGTGGTGACGCCAAGGTCCTGGAGGCAGCCGACACCAACTAGGTTCCTGAAGAACGAGGGGATGTGCAGACCTGTGAGACAGCCCGAAGGGACCGCCGGACAGGGGAGTTGGTGGAACTGCGGGCGACGACCGGGCGTCAGCGTGGTGAAGTCGCGGAAGAAACACCGGGAAGCGTCAGAGTCCAAGGTGAAGGAAAGTGCAGCAGTGGCGGTCGGAGTCGGAGTAGCGACGGAAGCACCAAGGCTAAACAAAGCAGGGGATCTTACGCCTGACGCAGCAGGGGAGTCTAAGCTAGGCACACCTACACTAGGCAACAAGGGGTAATAAGAAGGAAGCACATTGGAGTTATCAGCATACGTCACATGCAGTGCGGCAACAATGTCATCCATGTCCATATCAAAGATCTGAACCCTACGACGAAGCAAGATGTGCCAGTCCGGGAGGTCGGGCGACGGGCCGAAGCGCTGACGAAACAGGTCGTCCAGGCGATGGAAATTGCGGATGGAGGCGTAACCGATCTTACCACAAACGAAGCCACGGCGAGGACCGGTCTGGAGCTGGTACTGCCAGCGCGCGTCACCCGAACCGCCACTCGGCAGCCCACCACGCGCAAGACCACCACGTCCAGCGCCAGGCCACCCGGGCGGGAGACCACCCGCCCGCCTCGGCTGCTGCGGCGGCTGCGGCTGCGGCGAGGGCTGCTGAACCGGCTGGCGCGTGTCCGGCTGCGGCATCTGCTGCTGTTGAGACGACTGCTCGGCTGCACCTGTCAGGGTCCCCTCGTCCACGCCACCACCAGGTGACCCAACTCCACCACCACCTCCACCTGCACCCCCACCCCCACCCCCGTCACCACGCCCAGCCTTGGGGCGACGACCCTTCCCCAAACGGAACTGTACTGCAGCTGCGGTCTCAGCCACAGTAGCAGAATCGTCGGAAAAGGTGCACTGAGCGGGGGCACAACCCTGAAAGATAGGGACCGGCACACTACCGCTGGTCTGGGCGATAGAGCGGTGGCGGGTCTCTATGGCGGACAGGGTGTCAACAAAGTCAGTGAGGGTGAGGTCACCGTGGTGGACGCTAAGGAAGCGGTCACAGGCAGTGACAAGTCGGTCAGGGAGGCGGGTGGCCAGCAGGTAGAGAGCAGAGCAGAGGGCCGGCTGGTGAGTGCGAAGCTGTGTGTCAGTGAAGCAGCGTGCCAGGTCTCGTTTATCGTGCGCTGGTGGGCGGCCAGGTCAGCGACAGTGGGGAACGACGCAAGGTCGGGGAAGAGCATGGGGAGGATCAGGCGATCTACCGAGGCAGCGGGCGGGGTGAAATAGCGCTGGACAACACCATCTAGGAAAGCCTGGGCAGTGGTGATGGACCTAAAGCGAGGGCGCTCAGACAGGGGGAGGGCATGGCTGATAGCAAGCTGTGCGACAGCTTCACGCGATAGCCAGACGGAGCGAGCAAGGGCAGCGGCCGCAGCGGACTCACGCTTAGCAGACGAGGGGTCAGCGGGCAGCGCAGCAGGGGGGTCAGGGCAGGGGAGCGTACCGTCAAGGTGGATAGACAGCGAGTGGCCATCCTGCCGCTGACTCGTGAGGTGGCGGCGGAGGTCGGCCAGCCACGCCTCAAACTCAATCGGCTGGCCCTCAGCATCAAATCGAAGCACCTCCGCCATCAGGAACGATGCAGGGCGGCGCTGTGCGGTGCAGTGCGGTGCCAAGCGGTAGGGTGCACTGCAGGGCGGTACAATGCGTTGCAAAGCGGTACAGTGCGGTGCAAAGCGGTACCGGGGTTGGAGGGGTGCAGGGCGGTGCTAGTGGGGCAGAACGGACCGAGCACGAGCCGGCAGCGAGCCGGCGGCAGGCCGGCGACGAACGACCGCGGGGCAGGCGGTCGGCGGACGCAGGGGGGGCGGCAAGGAGCGGGCACGGGGCTGACGAGGAGCGGGAGCGACGGGGCCGGCTAGGAGCGGGCGCGACGGGGCCAGCTAGGAGTGGGCGCGACGGGGCCAGCTAGGAGCGGGCGCGACGTGGCCGGCTAGGTGCGGGCGCGAAGACTCTGGAGGCCGGGCAAGGTGGCCGCGACGGCGGCTAGGAACGGGCGCGACAGCTAGGGATGGCCGCGGCGGTGGCTAGGAACGGTCGTGACGGCTAGGAACGGCCGTGACGGCAGCTAGGGACGGCTAGGAGCGGCCGCGAGACGGCTAGGAACGGCCGCGGCGACGGCTAGGAACGACCGCGACGGCGAGTAGAAACGGCCGCGACGGCTAGAAACGGCCGCGACGGCGACTAGGAATGGCCGCAACGGCGGGAAACGGCCGCGACGGCGACTATGAACGGCCGCGACGGCGGCTAGGAACGGCCGTGGGACGGCTAGGAAGGGCCGCGGCGGCAGCTAGGAACGGCCGCGACGGCTAGGAACGGCAGTGACGGCGACTAGGAACGGCCGCGATGGCTAGGAACGACCGCGACGGCGACTAGGGGCGGCCGCGACGGCGGGTAGGAACAGCCGCGACGGCTAGGAAGGGCCACGACGGCAGCTAGGAACGACCGTGATGGCTAGGGGCGGCCGCGACGACGAGGAACGGCCGCGACGGTGACTAGAGACGGCCGCGACGGCGGCTAGGAACGGGCGAGACGACAGCTAGGGGCGGGCGCGACGACGGCTAGGGCCTAGGGCGGAAGCTCGGGCGGGCTCGGGGGGAGGGACCTAACCTATTATGATACCATATCAGAATGAGTAAGTGACTAGAATAGAATGATACAGGGGTATATGAACTAGAATGTTGTACTCTCTAAGGCACAAACCAGTATAGTCTACAGTAATGACCTAAGTTACATTTGACAACTCCCTCCTTGTATGCCTCTCTTCCTAGTCTCACCCTCTTTTCTCTTGTAACTTTCTCTCTCCTAAACCTCTCGCCATTTCATGGCCACCTACCTTCATAGCTAACATAGCTTCATAACACCACCCACGAAACTGCAATTTTCAAACTCAGTGCGTTGAGTTGTCACACCAAAGGCTGCCACCCCTAATTTGGGATGCGGGTTTGGATCTGAGCATGTTTCAATTATCCCCCCCTTACATGAGCCACACAAATCCAGATATTAGAAGCACACGAATGCCCTTAATAAATATATACACCACCAGCAGGTGGACTCCCTAAAAGGCTCCTCCCAATGTGGGACAAGCTGGAGAGTCTCGGTTCTACACCCCCATAGTCAATGCTAACGCTGATGGCTATAGTTAGGGGCATTCCCACCATACCTAGAAATCACGAATCTATAGGCAATCACCATGGTAACGGGTTTGCACAGCTCTCTTATAGCAGCTCCTAGCGAAGCCAGCAGCTGTACACCTTACAAGGTGCCCTTTGCTCCTAGGAGTCACTTAGAAGTGACTCTGCCTGCTGGCTGCGCTATCCCTCTATGGTTGCTGCTGACGGCCCTGGCCTGGCGACGGGAGATTGGTCGATGGCGAAGGATCGGTTGAATTGGCGGCGGAGTGATTAGTTGATCGATGGTGGCCCGTCAGGCGATGGTTGGATGGACGATTGGGGGGCGGAAACCATGGGTGGGCTGATTTTCTAGAGGACTCCGCTGAGCTTGTGTGCTGATGACAAGGAACCCTGCGCGCTGCTTTCGTATGAGCACTTGTGTTGTCGCGTCGCCACTGGGCGCTAAACCCTGAAGCCACGTGAAGTCACCGGGACTGTGACAGTAGTTCCCGTACATGATGGAATGATCATCACCACATGAAATGATCAAATAGGTTGTAGAAATTCCCGTTTCACAGCGAGCGGATGAGCCGAGCGGCGTCGACGCAGTGGATCGTCGCAAGAGCGAGCGCAGCCGCGCGCGGGGGCCGCTCGTGCGCGGAGCGGATGCACTCAATGTCTTTCTCGAGCTCAGCCAAGCACCGCTCCACGCGCGCCTCCTCCGCGCACCACCGCTCCCCGCCCGCCACGCCGTGCTGCGGGTGGTGCAGCAGCGCGCCGAGCCCCAGGTGCACCCGCTCCAGCACGGTCGCGCCGGCGGCTGCAAGGGAATCGCCGGAAACCAGCGCGTCGTGGCTGTGGTCAACGCGGTCAACGCCGCGGTCAGCGCGGCCCGTCGCGGCGGTTTGAACGTGCTGCAGCATGCGCGCGTAAGATTGAAGGAAGAGCGCCATGGCCGCGTGTGACGGGAAGACCGGAGTTGGCGGGAGCGACTCGTAGGGATACGCAGGAGCAGGTGCTTCGGCCTCGGCGGGTGTAGCGAGTTGGGGAGGTGAGCTCGTCTTTAGAGGGGCGACATCTGTGCCAGAGAAGGGGACGACGCAAAAAGAAAGAACGAAATAAGGGAATAAATCAGAGGTGCTTCGAGGAGAAGTGGAAAAGTCCGACCCGCGACGACTCGTCGGAGGAAATCGCTCGACCCGGAAAATTACGCCTGGTTGTAGAAAAACGCTGCGATGAGAATTTGCGAGCTTAAATTACGAGCGGAAGAGGTCCGGAGCGAATGTAGATTGACGCGAGAGAATTGAATAGTGGGGGGAGACTTCTGCCGAGTTGGCGAGTTCGCTTTATTTTTGTCGTGCGACCTGGAACTCTAGAGCTCACCTGGAACTTTCAGCGTGGTCGGTGACGCGGTGATGGGCGCAAAAGCGGGAGCTTCGGCGCGGACCACGCGCGCCGATGACGCACGGCGCGCGGAAATCCCAGTGAGACTCGGGCAGGTGACGGTAGCCGCGGTGCTGAGAAGCGCGTGTGCCATGGCAGAGGAGTAGAGCAGTGCGGCGGATGACTAAAAATTGAGATTGCTGTAGGAGTGATAGCTGAAGACGCTTGCAGAGTGGTCTAACTCGTGAGTATCTGTCCGAGAGAAGATGGTGGGATTTCGCAAGGGTAGAAGGGTAAAACAGTTTTGCGATCTGGGTAATGAGAAATGGGCTGCTGCAGATGATTTATGCTTTGACAGGGCGATAGATAAAAACTGCCGAAGGCAGACAATTTCACCCGAGTGGGAGTCGATAGGTCCACCTTGGAGATGTTGGGTTTTGTGAGTTTAGGTTCGTTTCGGTTCGGTTTGAAAGAGAAGCTGCGCTAGAAAGGTCCACACCACACCACCCCTAGTGACATGGAACATCAGACGCGCTTCGTCCCTTTTCTCCGCACCGCATCTCCCTCCTCCCTCATCCAACCAACCAGCCAGAAAAGGGTTTGGCGGAAGGAGGAAGGCGAAACGCGGAAGGTGGACTGTGGAAACGCGGAACCTAGAACAGGCAAGGCGGAGCTCCACCCTCGCTATTGTCGCAGACTCGCAGGGCAGCGGAATTCACCAGCTGGCGAGGCGACTAACACTGGTGTAGCGATGTATGCAACGATGCGATGTCAATTCTTACGGCTGTGAAACGAAGAACGTGCTTTGGTTCGGAAGCTTCTCGGGAAGCGAGAATCAAGGTTCACAAGAATTCGATATTTTGCTCGTTTTCCATTGGTTGCTGAAACACCTTCCATTTCAGGCGCATAAAAACAGCGTTCCATCTGCGCTGCTGGCGATTGCGACTCGCACGTAGCCTGTAAAAAGATCTCTCGTCCACGTCATAAGTGAGCATTTCGAAAACAGCTGTTCGCCAGCTAGATTTTCCAAGCCCTCTCACTGGCTGTTGTGTTAGTTGGAGTCCGTGTTGAGCACCCTGGTTGGTTTAGCGATATTGTGTCGAGCGTGATTGGTGGTTTACGGTAATGCAAACCGTGTAGTACAAGCTGGCGGCTTGGAAATGTATAAGTTGTGACGTGTACCGCTCTTTTCGTCCCTCCAACACCAAGTAATCTGCTGTGCTGTTGCCCGGCCCTTTACTCAACTCAACAAAGCAAGACTGGCCACACGAACCAACTCCCGCCAACTCCCGCCAATACGGAACGACCTGGAGAGACTTCCTCCAGCCTCCGTCACGTTGGCAATTTGTTGAGGTCGCGTGACGAACGGAGTCTGTCAAACGCCAGCCCTGCATAAGTAGGTGAGGGGATGTTGTCACGTCAGATGTCGAAATACACTTTGTTTTATTTATTGTCTCACCCAGAACAGTATAAATTTCAATCTCACCTACCAGGTTCTCTACATGACTCGCGTTGACACTGAACCTGATTGGCTGCAGTCTGAACGATAGAGAAGTGCCAAGTTGTATTTCGACAATTGCGATATTCAGAGCTGGGACGTCGCGCGGGCAACTAATCTAGTGAATATGCGAGATTTTGTAACCAAGTGTCATTTCTTACTGTGGGATTTCCCCTTCAAAGTCCCGTTTGCCCCTGTTTTACTATTTCCTGCTTATAGGCTCAAGCCGCGTGCAAAAACGTAATACTGTAAACTGTAGTCGCCCTATGGTGGAGAAACGATGATGATGCACTCGTCGAGCCAGTCGATGATTAAATCGTGACCGTAGGAGGACCCACGCAAGTCGCGGGTCAACACAACTTCTCACGAAGTTGCTACTTTCTCCTGCATTGCTGGAACCGCACGAGGCGCGCGGGAGGCGCGCGGGAGTGGTCTGCCCTTACCATGCCTCTTCTCCGTCCTTGTGCGCAAAGGGGGGAATCGCCTGCGCCTCGCCCCGGCTTATCCCGCGGAACGGGGTTGGTTGGTTGCGTGCGCCAAACTTGTGGTGGGTGTGCCGCGGCTTCCTCGTCAGCAACAGGCCTTGCTGTTGCCAGGCTGGCCTGACGCCGCACCGCCAACCCCCCAAAAGCTAGATCCTACACGAAGAGCTGGGTACACCAAGCCCGCGGTATTTTTAAACCCAGTATTTTCACAGGGGGTGCCGCCGAGAGGGTATTCACCCCCCGAAAGCAGCTCCTGAAGACCAGATTCGGATACCCTTTAAAAACAATTAGAACTTGGGTTTCTATACGAAACGTTTACTGCTCGATTTAGTTTTCCTCGAGTCAGGAAACCCGACGTCAGGTTAGGCAGTGCTCAAAGTTTTTGCCCGCGTGGAGTCTTCCAAGCTGAGGCCGTAGGGGCAAGGGGGTACTGTCTACGCCCTCAGAATTGGTCAGGGTGGAAACAAAAACCATTCTGCCGCCCAGTATCAGCGTGTAAAATTACCGCGGGCTAAGTACACCCTGCGAGGTATCACTGACCCCACACCACACCACGCATCGCGAGATTCGCATGCATCAGCGGTTCGCGAAATCTCGTTGACCTGCAGTAGATTCTGGTCGCATTTCCGGAAACAGCACAGCCCGGCTCCTCGCAGCATTCGTGATTGTCGTCGCCAATCTCGCAGAGTTACGAGCCTCCTCTTGCTGGGCTACCAGGTGGTGGATGACTTCGCTACAACACCAAAAAGGGCCTATTGCAATACATATTCACTCGAAACAGCCCCTCCCACATTATTCGGCCTCCGCTTCTACCATCTTTCTGGACATCAGCTGCTCTCAGTGTTCGCATCCCTGTTTTCCGCTAACAAGCCTCCACCGCCAGCACAATCCTTCTCGCGCGAAGAATCTGTGACGTACCATCTTCACGTTCTGCTCAAAGCCTCGGAGCGACCGATCGTTAAAAAAAGCGTCATCATGGCGACTCTCAGCTGTCCCGCTATGACTGGAGCGAGGCTCGTCGCGTCGCCAGCAGTAAAGCCGGCGCTTCGTCGCACGCCTGCCATTGTCTGCCGGGTCGCCCCTCCGAAAACCTCCTCCTCCGATCCCGTCAACCTTTTCAACCCTGCCACGTGTAAGGACCGCACGAAAAACGCATATCCATGGTGCGTGAGCGGGTGGAACAAAGTTCAGTTGAAGCGCTGCGCTTTGTTGATTGAAGCGCTTAATCGATTGCATTAAATGCTGAATAAAATCTTGAAACTCAACCCTTGATTTTCCGAGGCCGCGAGAAAGAGTATTTCGCGCATACATCAATGGACTCGGCTGCTTCGGCCGAGCCGCGCGGCCATCATGTGATCTATGCAATAATTGAAGTTCGCCGTTTTGGATGTTGCTTGCGTTTCGGTCCGCTGATTTCTTCGTTTCAGGGTTCGGCAAATCGTCCAAGGCGCAACCCGAGCCTGTGCCCGAACCTGAACTGGAGCCTCTCGCGACGCTCCCGCCGACTCCGGTCTTCCCGTCACACCAAGCAATGACGCTATTCCTGCAGTCGTACGCTCGCCTTCTGCAGCACGTCAAAGCGGGAACGGTGGTCGGGAGAGGGAGAAGAGACGGCGTTGGCCACGTTGACCTCGTTGACCACAGCCACGACGCGATGGTCTCTGGCGACTCCCTCGCTGCTGCTGGCGAGACTGTGCTGGAGCGAGTGCACCTGGGGCTCGGCGCGCTGCTGCACCACCCGCAGCATGTAAGCCTTACATTCAGATACCGCAGTTTCATTCAGCTCAAATCTGCTCCCATGGTGATCGTCAAGGTTACAGCGTTGCTCCTAGATCTCTTGTTTCGGCACATTCTATTGTTTGACTCGTTTTTCCCCTTCATTTTCTGCACCTGTGGTGCGGCAGGGCGTGCAGGGTGGCACGGTGTGGGGCCGCAGGGAGGAGGAGGTAGAGAAATGTCTGGCGGAACTGGAGAAGGATGTGGAGCACATGAGGGATGCGCATGAGAAGGCACCGCCTGCCACCACTCTGAACCTCGCAACAGCGCACGCTTTGGACGCTGCTAAGATGATCAGCAAGCTTTGAGATTGAGACTGGGGTTGTTAGTGCTCCGGTCCGGTCTGGATTTGCTGAAAGTAGAATGCTGACGAGTGACTTGTAGAGCCGCTGCCACTGTGGAATGGTCGTCCACAAGGTGGCTAGAACAGCTGGGATGAAGGGGAGGGGATGTAGCAAACTAATAGGGCTAGTGATTTGGTTTGAAGGGGAGAAAGAGCATGTATAGCAATCTTGCACTATGCACAATATGTAAGTATTGAATATAATTAGCCACGTTCCAATTCTCTGAATGTGAGGTTCGATGGCTAGTTGTAATGAACATGAAAATGCAATGAAATGGGACTAGTGTCGAAAATTACATTCCTTGAACAATCATCAAAGGCATGTGTGGAGTTTGAGGAAAGAACCTAGGGGTAAGAATGAGGATGTCTATACATTTTGATGAGATGTTACTTATCAAAAAGCATGTAACGCCATAGAAATCATCCAACAAGCCCAACATTTCAACCAGTAGCGCCAAACCAACACGAACTTCCCTTCACAACGGAACCGCCTCTGTCACGCAAAAACGCGAATTGACTCTGATTAGCGGAGACTTTCCCTCTCAACAAAGTTTGCTGCCGAACCTCACTTCGTAAGCTTCGGGCTCCTGGCAAAACCAGATGTGTTCCTGCCTTCGAGTCGCTATGTCATCGAAACGCTGAACAATTTGGAATTTGCCTGGTCAGCCGGACCGCACCAAGCCTCATCGTCAGGTTGCCATGGGCATGGTATGGCATTGTGTTCTGACTGTTTGTCATGGTCAGCTGGGGGCTGTGCGCTTGGTTCGGGGGCCGTCCCAACCCGCAAAACCACCAAAGCTCGAAATTGGGCTCGCTCTTGCTGCTGTGTCCGCGCCCATACCTAACCCAAGCCCAGTCTTCTCGAGATTGGTTTTGACCCCGAACCAGCTCAAATACATCTCACGCCTCGGTAACCCAGCCTCGGTTTCTCAGTCCCAGCCTCGGCCAAACTTGGCACAGTAATCCCTATGTTCATGGCTGACTCATCTCGGGCTTCCTCGGGCCATGATGCTGCGAGATTCCTCTCCCTTCAGGACAGGCCCTCCCCCCAGCAGCAGCATCAGGCAATGGTGAGGATGAAAGAAAAATGGTGACTACTTTCCCTGCTGCAGCTGGTGAATGACACACAGACCGAATGCTTTCACTCCATACCCTCCCGGGATTTTAGTAACCTCGATATTACCGTTGAACGTGGGACTTGGTTTCGTCTGCGTTGTCTAGTTCGCTCCTAGTAACGGCGTCTGCAGCAGAGCCAGTCCTAATCACGACACTATCACACAAGCCACGAGTGATCATATTTATAGCGAGCTGTTTATAGCATCAATAGCACTAAGGGATTAAGTCGAGACTCGTACTGGTTATGACGAACTTAGATGCCGAAAAGGGTCCTCATTCGCTGGTGAGGGCCCGTAGCTCAAATACCTCTCAGGATTCTCAGAGGAGACGAACGGGAGGAAGAGCCGGCGGGAAAGGAGGAGAAAAGGGAGGCGCGAGAGACAGCAGAGACGGGTCCCTGATTGGTGATGACGTCACTCAAGCGGAATCTGGTGAGGAGAACCTCGACTTAGGATGGTCTTAGATGAACGTGAAGCGATGCGGTTGATGCTATTGCGGAAGCCGATATGCTTTATGGAGCTTAATGTTGCGAATAGCTAGCTTAGAATGACCGTCATAGGAGAACGTGAGACGACATGCTTGACGTAGAATACACGTTGCGAGTAGAACGATGGTATTTCCGATGTAGATTGCACGCCTCTGTTCAGCACTGAACGAGCTCAGCAACCTCTACGTTCACCGACCTCCAAGTCGTTCTTATCCGCGAAATTGTCACCAGCCTGACGCTTCTGAGCCCCTTGCCAGCGTCTAACACCCGAAATTAATTCCCCCTGTTTTGCGTGTAGAACGAGTGCGAGTGACTATCCGAGTACGGCCGCCTACCGAAGAGGAAGCCGCCAGCAATGGGGAGTTCGCCATGGATATATCGCCTGAGGACAGCACCGTCGTCCTTCACAGGTACCTTCCGTCAGATCCGCCTCTTTCTTCGACTTGCTTTCGCTTCGACCATCCGTTACCGGAATCCTGGCTCTTGAGAAAGCGAGAAATAAAAAATGAGCTCCGCTTCGATAGTTGGCTCGTTGTTTCGTTTTCTCTAGAGCTCATTATGTCTTATTCGCGAGGCCATTTCTCACTCTTCTTACTCAACGTGCCGTCGTCTATGTGCGTCAGGAGCAACGGTCAGCTGGAGCAGATGGAGTTTGAATTCGATTCCGTTCTCCCGCCAACGGCCACTCAAGCGGATGTCTATCAAGTCGCCGCCAAGCCCGTCGTTGCGGTTCGTGCAGCAGATTGACTGTTTTTAGAAGATATCTATACTCGCTGCGCGTATCCATCATGCGCTCTTGTCGCGTAGCTGATAACTTTACGACCGTTCGTCGCTGTCGTTCGAAGACGTCGTTTCCCTATCCTTAACCATTCGTCCACTATTTGACACAGGATGCATTGAACGGTAACGGCACGGTCATGGCGTACGGTCAGACGGGTGCATGCGAGGCATTTTTTAGGCGCCTAAAGAAATTACTCTTTGCACCCACCTCCATGCTCTGTTACAGGATGTGCTGAACGGTTACAACGGCACGGTCATGGCGTACGGGCAGACGGGAGCGGGCAAGACATACACGCTCTCGAGCACCAAGCCGTCGCAGCTCGGCATCATCCCGCGCGCTGCGGCCGAAGTGTTCGTGATGGCCCGAGCCGACCCTAGCCACACGTACCGGGTCTCGATGTCGTACATCCAGATCTACATGGAAATGGTAAGGCAACCACAGCCCGATAGGCGGCTCTTTAGTTAACTCAATAGTCACCTCAGACCCCAGCCACACGCACACATACAGGGTCTCGATGTCGTACATCCAGATCTACATGGAAATGGTGAGTCACCGCTTAGGAGACTCTTGAGTCGACTCGAAAGTCGCCGCAGACCCCAGCACACGTACAAGGGTCTCGATGTCGTACATGGAACTGGTACGTCGCCGCTTCTCAGCGTCCAATATTCTGGTACGCAAGCATGGCTAGCGTGCTTAGGAGCTACTTTTTTTACTGGCTTCCACGCGATTCTCCTCCTTATCTTCGTGACTTCCTCTGAGCCGTGCGCTTTTTCCCCTCCCACATTTGGGTTCCGTCCGCCTCTACCGGCTCAACCGGCTCGACCGGCTCGACTGGCTCGACCGACTCGATCGTCTCAACCGTCCCCTCCGGCTCAATCCTGCAGATTCAGTACCTGCTCCGACCGTCGAACTTTAACATGCAGATACGGGAGAGCGAGAGCGGGGTTCTCACGACATTTCTCGTCCTTCTCACCTTCGCTACTCCCTCTACTGTGGACGGGCCGTGCACTTTTCTCCCCTCCCACCTTCGCTCCGCTAGACTTGACTGGCTGGCCCCTGCAGATCCAGGACCTGCTGCGGCCGTCGAGCTCGAACATGCAGATACGCGAGAGCGGCTTTTCACGCGACCTTTCTGCCTTCTCACCGTCGCCACTCCTTCCTGCCCGTAAACTGTTTCCCCACCTTCGCTCCGTCTGGCTCGTCCCTGCAGATCCAGGACCTGCTGCGGCCGTCGAGCTCGAACATGCAGATACGGGAGAGCGAGAACGGGGTGTACATCTCGGGCGTGGAGGAGGTGGAGGTCACGTGCGTGGAGGACTGCCTCAAGCTGCTGGCGGTGGGCGAGAGAAACCGCACAGTCGCATTTACCAAGATGGTGAGTAAACAGTCAACAGGTTGGAATTATGAGTCGTTATAAGAAACTCCCGGATAAGAGCGGGGTGTACATCTCGGGCGTGGAGGAGGCGGAGGTCACATGCGTGGAGGACTGCCTCAAGCTGCTGGCCGTGGGGGAGAGGAACAGAACAGTCGCATTCGCCAAGATGGTGGATGAAAAGCCTGGGAATATGACTCGTTATAAGTATCCCCGGTAAGGATTCGTTACAAGAATCCCCAAGAGCGGGGTGTACGACTCGGGCGTGGAGGAGGTGGAGGTCACGTGCGTGGAGGACTGCCTCAAGCTGCTGGCCGTGGGGGAGAGGAACCGCACAGTCGCATTCACCAAGATGGTGAGCAGATTAGGGGGGAGTCGACTCGTTATAAGGATCCCCGATAAGGTCAAGGTTTTGCCGTCTGTGTCGTGACTATGAATCCCATGCGTTGCTCGTCTGCTCGGTTCAGCAGTCGGGCCACGCGACAAAGTTCGCCCCCTCGAGGTAGCGTGCTCGATCCATGCGTCCCCTCTCTTCACAAGCGCCAATGGAGCAAAGCCAGGTTGGGCCTCTCAAGTGGCGGCTCATCCCACCCTACCCGTGTCTCACAGCCTCTTTGCACCCGCTTTGCTTCCCGTCTGTTTCCCTCGCTCCTTGCCTTCGTACTGTGTTGCTACTTGTGCTCCTGTGTTTCAGAACGCGCACTCGTCTCGCAGCCACGCCATTGCGATCATCACGGTGGAGAAGAAGCGGCGGAAGGAGGTGGAGAGCAGCGACTCCGAGGGGAACTCGGGGGCTGTTGCTGCTGGGGGACACGGGAGTGAGGAGCACCGCAAGCCAGAGAAGAAAGACAAGTGAGTGCTTCGTGTTTATGGACTAGATTTCAATATCCACCCTCAGTTGTGACTTGCGGTTTCTGAAGCAGGATCCAAAAGTGCCTCATACACGGATGCGTGTGGGCTAATACATTTCGTCCCCTTTCTTGTCTCCTCGTCCTCGTCTTCTCCGTTCGCATGCATGCTATGCACCGCTCCTTCCTTACTCCCCTCCCCTCCTTTCCTTCTTCTCTCTCCTTTCATTTGCTCAGGATTTTGGTCGGAAAGCTCTTCCTAGTGGACCTTGCAGGTTCGGAGCGGCTCAAGAAATCAGGTGCGAACTATAGCTGCATACCGGGCTAGTTCCGTGTGCCATGTGCTCGTTAACGTCATGAAACGGGCATATTCCTTACTGCACTGTAGCCATGAGAGCTAAATTGTTCGTAACACCCATGTCTGTGCCTCTCTTGCTTCTGGTGGGCTTGTTCAGGCTCAGAGGGTCTCAGAGCCAGCGAAGCCAAGAGCGTCAACCTGTCCTTGACCGTTCTAGGTACTGTCCTTGACCGTTCTAGCTACTTCGCCGCATTCTCTACCCACCTTGCTATGATGTGCCCATCTCTGCCCTCAGCCCCGAATGGTTCCGATGCCCTTTGCTTGTCACTGGCATCCGTTCTGTGCCAGAAAGCGCCGTCTCACCACTACCACCTGGTGCCCTCTCACAACTATCCAATGCCCGTCGCCTTGTGCATGGCTACTTTTTAGGCGCCTAAAAAAAATGGTCACCACCACCTGGTGCCCTCTCACAACCATCCAATGCCCGTCGCCTTGTGGATCCCCGTGGCTACTCCCTGCAGGAAAGTGCATCAACGCCCGGGCAGACCCCCATGCGCACCATGTACCGTTCAGGGACTCCAAGCTCACTCGCCTGCTGCAGGAGTCACTGGGAGGTAGGCACTGCTTGGTCATGGCATCAACTTCTTGGACGTTACAAAAGGTGCCTGTGGCATCAACACCCGTGCAGACCGACCTGCACACCACGTTCCGTTCAGGGATCCCAAGCTCACTCGCCTGCTGCAGGAGTCACTGGGAGGTAGGCACTGCTTGGTCATGGCATCACCTTCTTGGACGTTACAGTTACAATAGGTGCCTGTGGCATCAACACCCGTGCAGACCGACCTGCGCACCACGTTCCGTTCAGGGATCCCAAGCTCACTCGCCTGCTGCAGGAGTCACTGGGAGGTAGGCACTGCTTGGTCATGGCATCACCTTCTTGGACGTTACAATAGGTGCCTGTGGCATCAACACCCGTGCAGACCGACCTGCGCACCACGTTCCGTTCAGGGATCCCAAGCTCACTCGCCTGCTGCAGGAGTCGCTAGGAGGAAAGAATTTAATGTCTTCCCCCCCCCCCTCCTTCACCCCTCTCTCTTCTCAACGCCCCCTTATTATGTTTCTCCCTCACTCCCTCCCCCATTTCGTCCCTCCCTCAAACATTATATCTCTCGCCCTTCGCATCCCTCACCCCTTTTCTATCCCACTTCCTTTCAAACTTTCATACCCGTCCCCTCTCCCAAGCATCCTCCTTTTCTCCTCTTGTTCTCGGCCCCCCCAGGCAACGCCAAGACCTCACTTGTCATCAACGTCGCCCCCACCATCCACCATCTCAACGAGTCCCTCTCCTCCCTGCTCTTTGGCTCCCGGGTATGCTCCCCATCTCCTTGGTTCTCCGTTCTGTTTTTATGCATCTCTCATCTCCTCCCCTCCCTATTTTTTAGCTCTTTCCTCGTTTCTGTTCTAATGCACTTAATCCTCCCTCCCCTCTCCCTTTTTCTGCCCCGTCTGCTCTCTTTTCCTCCTCTCCCGTTTCAATCAGTTGAATATATTTCCTCGGTGCTGCCTAACGTTACGGTTTGACCATGGATCGTCTGTCTGTATCTGTGGCAGGCCATGGAGGCGAAAACCAAGGCGGTGGTGAATGAGGAGGAGGAGAAGTCTAATTTCTCTTTTTCTGTGCCCCTGCCCATGCCTCTCTGACCCTGCACTGAGCCCCTGTGCCCCTGTACTGTGCCCCTGGACTGTGCCCCTGGACTGTGCCCCTGTACTGTGCCCCTGTACTGTGCCCCTGGACTGTGCCCCTGGACTGTGCCCCTGTACTGTGCCCCTGTACTGTGCCCCTGTACTGTGCCCTGACTGCCCCTGTCTGCCCCTGTACTGTGCCCCTGGACTGTGCCCCTGTACTGTGCCCTGTACTGTGCCCTGTACTGTGCCCTGTACTGTGGACTGTGCCCCTGTACTGTGCCCCTGTACTGTGCCCCTGGACTGTGCCCCTGTACTGTGCCCCTGGACTGTGCCCCTGTACTGTGCCCCTGTACTGTGCCCCTGGACTGTGCCCCTGTACTGTGCCCCTGTACTGTGCCCCTGTACTGTGCCCCTGTACTGTGCCCCTGTACTGTGCCCCTGTACTGTGCCCCTGTACTGTGCCCCTGGACTGTGCTGTGCCCCTGCACTCCGCTCTCTCTTTGCCTCACAGGCCATGGAGGTGAAGACCAAGGCGGTGGTGAACGAGGAGGAGGAGTACCGCATCCTCACCCGCACGCTGCAGGAGACCATCGACGAACACGACGACCGCGTGCACTCCCTCGAGGTAGGCTCCCGCACTCTCTCCTCTCTTCTCTCTCCATTAACCTTTCTCATCCCTCCTCTCTCCACTCTCGAAGTACAGCCTCGAGGCGTCTCAACACTCTCTCGCACACCCTTCCCCCACCCTCTCTTCCCCACCCCAATCTCCAGGTGGTGGTGTATTTGTCTTAGGAAGAGCAGCTGTCGCAGGCCAAGGCAACTTGTTACTTGACAATCAACCACCCATTATCCTCCCATACCACTTCCCCAACCCCCCACACCCCCCCCTTGCAATCTCCAGGTGGTGGTGTACTTGTCTTACAAGGAGCAGCAGGCCAAGGCGATTTGTTAGCTTGACAATCAACCACCCGTTAGCCTTCCATACCCCTCCCCTTTCTTCCGCCCTCCCTTCCCCCACCTCCCGCCCCCCCCCAATCTCCAGGTGGTGGTGTACTCGCAGGAGGAGCAGCTGTCGCAGGCCAAGGCGAGTCTGGACGAGCCATCGTAATTCCGCCCTTAACACACCGATCTCCCCCCCCCAAATTCCCAGGTGGTGGTGTACTCGCAGGAGGAGCAGCTGTCGCAGGCCAAGGCGAGTCTGGACGAGCAGAAGGAGCTGGTGGGCGCCCTGCAGGCGGAGCGGGAGGAGATGGAGCAGAAGCTGGCAGAGGGTGTCGCGGCAGTGGAGGAGGAATGGACTGCCAAGTGAGTATTTGTAGGTTGTAGCTGCATGCTTGTAGGTGTTTTGTTAGCACCTCAAGGCAAGATGCAGGCGGAGCGGGAGGAGATGGAGCAGAAGCTGGCAGAGGGTGTCGCGGCAGTGGAGGAGGAATGGACTGCCAAGTGAGTATTTGTAGGTTGTAGCTGCATGCTTGTAGGTGTTTTGTTAGCACCTCAAGGCAAGATGCAGGCGGAGCGGGAGGAGATGGAGCAGAAGCTGGCAGAGGGGGTGTCGTGGCAGTGGAGGAGGAATGGGCTGCCAAGTGAGTATGGTTGGGAAGGGATGGGAAGATTGTGCTAGAGGGGACGCGTGTGTGAGTGGGTGTTTTGTGTGGGTGTTGTGCGGGGGTGTTGTGTGGGGCCTCAGAGAGCGCTGCAGGCGGAGATGGAGGAGATGGAGCAGATGCTGGCTTAGGGTGTAGTGGCAGTTGAGGAGGAGTGGGCTGCCAAGTGAGTTGCATGTGTGTGTGTGCGTGCGTGCATGCGTTCCTACTTGCGTGTGTGTGTTTGAGGGAATCACGCTGGCAAGGGAGCGAGAGCGCAGAGCAAGATAGAATGTGTGCCCTTGTCACGTATCTCCGTGCATACCCCTTCTCTCAGTGATGTCACTTAGCATCATGTATACCCCTCTTCCACGCATCACTGCAGGCTGGAGAAGGCTGAAGCCGAGGCGAGCCAACGGATGGATGAGGCACAGCAAACCTTCTCAGAGGTACACAAGGCTGGCTCGGGGCGTAGGCTTATTAGTGTAAGGGGGCGTCGTGAGCAGAAACAGGGTGGGGTCTACTGTGGTCCGCACCTGTTTTGCTGGGCTGTGTCACGTCTCTGACGCATACGATCTCTCAGGGTAAAGAAGGCTGCCTGGAGGCAGATTGCCCGGAAAGGCATGAGCTCGCAAGCCCCGATCAAGAGCAGCGGGAAGGCGTAGAGAGGGATCTATTTTTGAGGCGCCTCAAAGAAAGGCACGAGTTGGCAAGCCCCGATCAAGACCTGCGGGAAGGCGGAGAGAGGGATTGGTTCCTTGGTATGCAGCCGCATGGGCTGGGTAAGGGCTGCGACCAGACCAGTGAGAGCTCGGGCTCGTTTTCTGGAGCGCTGATGAGGCGAAATGCAGAGAGCGAGGGGAGCGAGGGATCTGGACAGTCCACTCTGTCTAGTGCGGGAGCTAGTGGTTTGCTGGAGAGGGGAGCAGGAGGCAGTGCAGGGCAAGGGACACTGATCATAGAGACTCCACAGAAGGGGGGTGATGGGGAGACGAGTGCGGAATGGGAGGGTGGGGAAGAGCGTGGGGGATGCGAGGGTGGCAGAGATGGTGGGGAGGGCAGTGAGGATGGGGAGGGCAGTGAGGAGTGGGAGGATGGCAGTGGAGTGAGGGAGCTGCTCGGTGCCTTCACCTCCGCTGCTCTCTCTCACGTGCAGGTCTGACCTGTCTCCTAGTCCGGCCAAACTAACCACCCTTAACCTTTTCTTCGCCTATGTGCCTCCGTGGGCGCCGTTTCCCTTGGTTTTCCCCTTGGGTTCCTTCCCTGCTCCTCCGTTGCTTCCCCTTTCTGTCGTTGTCTCACCTCCTCGTGGCGTTGTCAGAACCTATCCAAGGCAACAGAGCAGTTATCATGTGAGAGGGACGAGATGGCCAAGGAACTCACATCAGCTCAAGAAAGTAAGCCATGGCTCTCTTTTGTCCACTCGCACCTTGCACTCAGTCCTCTGCCCACCGTTTCCCTTCCCTGCAAAGGCATAGTCACCTTATGGTGTGTTGAGGCTACCTTGTGGGCATATGGGCTCATGCCATGTGGTTGTCCTTTCCTCTCTTTGAATGCAGCTGTGAAAAGGCTGGAGCAGCAGCTTAGGGAGGTGCAGGAGGCGAAGGGGCACCTGGAGGCTGCTCTCTGCGCGCTTTCCTCGCATGTTCTCTCCTCCCCACCGCTACCCCCACCCTGTCTCCCCATATCCATCATTCCTACGCAGTGGTGCAGAGGCTGGAGTAGCAGCTAAGGGAGGCGCTGGAGGCGAAGGGGCACCTGGAGGCAGCTCTCTGGTTTTACTCCATGCGTCCCTTCTCATCACCATCCCATGTTTCGCCTTGTGTGCTTTTCTCGAGTGCAGTGGTGCAGAGGCTGGAGCAGCAGCTGAGGGAGGCGCTGGAGGCGAAGGGGCACCTGGAGGATGCCCTCTTGGTGGCCTCGGAATCCGGTGAAGCGGGTGATGGGAGCGGGCTGCAGCTGCTGGTAGTGGAGAAGGCGGCGCGGCAGCAGGCAGAGAAGGAAGCAGAGGCGCTGAGAGCTGAGAAGAGCCAGGGGCAGTTGATGCTGGAAGAGACCGAGAGGAAGCTGGCGAAGCAGACAGAGGTGAGAGAAGGAAAGGGCATTATGTGGAGTGGAGAAAACGGCATGAGGTCATTGCTCGTTGTCTGGGTGATTAACGTTGCTAGGCTCCACTATTCTCGTTTCCCACTCCCATTCTTCCTTCTATGGTATTATTTGCTTGTTAACCTATTGTACCACTACCCTCCTAATCTTCCCGCCATTCGGCGTGTGTGTTGACCCAGTGTACCACATATCAGGAAACAACGCAGCGCGCTCAGGATGTTCGATCGCTCAAGGCATAGAACAAGAGGCTGACTGAACTTGTGGTGGCAACGAGCAGAGCAATGAGCAGAGCAATGAGCAGAGCAGTGAGCAGGGCAACCGAAACCCTCTTAGTGTGTTACCCTGCCTCATTCCTTGTTTCAGGAAGCGACACAATGTGGTCAGGAGGTGCGGTTACAAGGCAGAGAGAACAAGAGGCCGAACGAGCCCGTGGTGGCAACTAGGAGGGAAACTGAAACCTTTTCTGGGTGTTACCCTGTCTCATTCCTTCGTGCAGGAAGCCACACGGCGCACCCAGGAGGTTCGATCGCTCAAGGCAGAGAGCAGGAGGCTGAACGAGCTGGTGGTGGCAACGAGGAGGGCAACTGAGATTCTTCTTCTGTGTGTTACTGTGTCATTCATTGTCCCAGGAAACTGCACAGCGCACCCAAGAAGTGCGATCGCTCAAGGCAGAGAACAAGAGGCTGAACGAGCTTGTGGTGGCAACGAGCAGGGCGCTGGTAGCAGGAGCAGCAGACGCAGCAGGAAGGGCACTTTCATCCCTCGATCACCACTTCTGTGCACCCAAGATCAAGGCATAGCGTGTTGATTTCCTTCGGCGTACAGAGCATGATGCCATTACCTTGTGGTGGTAACAAGAAGAGTGCTGGTACCATAGCAGGAGCAGCTGATATGGCCAGAAGGGCTCTGGCATCTTCTCGGATCACCACCAACTCTGCTCCGCTAAAATAAAGATCAAGAAGATTGAAGACCTAGTGTGTTGCAGGTTGAAGAACTTAGTGTAGCAAACATGCCCCGTTATACAATGGTTGTTGATTGCCATTATAGAAACTGTACGTGCAGGTTTGGCCTGCTAAGCCACTAGCTGTTGGTGTTGTGTGTTGCTTGCTCTGTTGGTGCACGCTAGGTTTGTGGAAGGGATTGGCCAGAAGCAGTGTTTATGAGATGTACGGAACTTTATAGCACATCAGAACTGTAGTATCTGCAATTGCATGGTGCAAATAGAGCAGAAATCCAGATGGAGTTTGAATTGTGATCCAAGTGTAGGTGTGAAAGGTCATGGCCCTTGAATCGTAGCAACACTTGATTCCAGATGGAACTTGATGCCAATACGTATCAATGTTTGAAATAAGTCAACTGGTGCACACAAAGCCTACCGGTGCATTGGCAAAGGAGCACTGTGGTATCGGTAGTAGTACCACCTTATTGCCAGGCAAACCAAACAAGAAACCTGCAAAAGGCTTTGAAGCTCTCCATCTAGGGCACATTATTGCGGTTGTCGTCTCAGTAGTGGTAGGTTATCGTCGTCACTGGTAACCGGGTCAGTTACGGATGTTGCAGCAGGGCCAACTGGGCGTGGATCTCCTGCCAATGGTCCAACTCCGATTGTTGAGCTCTGGTAAGGGGGCACATGTCTGCTGGTGCTGCTGCTGGGATCCCTGTTGCTGCTGCTGCTGGGATCCCTGGTGCTGCTGCTGGTGGCAATCCTGTTGCTGCTGGTATGGTCTCTGTCAACGAAGCTGGTGCTGCTGCCACTCGCAATAGAGTCATCAAGTGAGAATGCGCCGGAAAATTCCTGCATTGGTGGGGTTGAATGCAGCATTGGTGGGTGGGGTTGAATGTACCAGAAGGAAATTGAAGATAGCTCAGAGGTGGCGCCCCACCATTTCGTATTTTGAAGGAAAAGAGGGGAAAAGGGAGAGGAAGAGGGAAAGCAAAAAGCAGAGGGAGAAAAAAGATGAAAAGCATGGGCAGCGAGGAAGTTGGAAGAGGTACTATTCAGATGCAGACTTGCCTGGGAAGACAGCTGGCTGTATGTGTGTGATGGAGAGGGGGCATCAAGACAGGAGGAAGAAGGAACGAGAGGCAGAGGGGAAGACGAGCAGGTGGGAGAGGGAACAGGGGGAAATACGACAGAGGAACAGACTTGCCTGTGAGGGCGGCTGGCTGTAAGCGTGTAATGTAGAGGGGGGATCCAGAGCCATGTCACCACTGCAGAGGGGGGTGAGAGGCAACAAAGTGCAATAAAGAATGGGCTTCACAATAGTGAGTCAAACGCAAGTTGATGCTGCACCATGTGCCCAGGGGCACCACTGCAAACACGGTGCACGAGAGACAACAAGTGCAACCCGAGCGACCTGCAGGTTGACGAGGCAAAAGAAACAACAACCATCACTGCAGAAAGCAACATGAGAAGCAATTAGCGTAGCAATAAGCATAGCTCCAAGCCGAATTGCTTGCTGACGAAGCACTGTCAGCCCGATAGCTGATAGGCACTGGAACGAAGCACGAGAGCCGGAGAGCAGAAAGGGTCACGAGTTCTGATTCTGAGTCGTCTAGGCATGGCGGCTCGCCCTCAGAGGGGAAGAGAGCGCCCAGAGGCATGGGGGAAGCGTTGTTGCTGCGGAGGAAGGGAAGCACGCCTCCTGCTGCTAGTACCCACAGTCCAGTCTCAACTCATGCCTGTGGTCGTGCCCATGGCCATATGTCAGCAGCAGTACCTGTAGTCGAGGAGGCCACTGATGCTCATTCTGAGGGCATGGCAGCTCGCTCAGAGGGGGAGAGAGCACTCAAAGACGGAGAGGGGTCAGACCTGCTAGCACCCACAGTCGACCCTCAACACGTATCTGTGGTCGTGCCCACGGCCCTATTTCAGCAGCCATACCTGTAGTCGAGGCCCCTGATGCTCATTCTGAGCAGCCTGGGCATGACAGCTCGTTCAGAGGGGGGAAGAGCAACCAGAGGCGAAGGGGCAACATACCTGCTTGCTACTGCTGGAGCCCACGGTCCAGCCTCAACACGTACCTGTAGTCGAGGCCCCTGATGCTCATTCTGAGCAGTCTCGGCATGACAGCTCGCTCGGTCGGCGAGAGAGCACCCAGAGGCAAGGGGGAAGCCGTGGCAGCCGCGGGGGAAGCATAGAGAGAAGCAGAGGGGGATGCAGCAGCTTCGAAGTACTGATTGGTGAGGGGAGAGGCGGAGGGAGAGGGGAGCGAGTGAGAGTAGTGGGAGGAGTGGGGTGAGTGAGAGGGTGAGGGGGGGAAGCGGGGGAGGGAGTGTGGAGTGGAGTGAGGGAAGTGGATGGAGTGGGAGTGAGTGGGGCGAGAGGAGGAGGCGAGAGTGTGGGAGTGGGAGGTTCTGCTTGGAAGGTTGATAGCTTGGGATGCTCTTGCACTGCCTCCTACTCCTCTTGCTGCCTCCCCCCCTCCCCCCCCTCCTCCTGCTGCTGCTGCCGCTGCTGCTGCTGTTCCTTGCATGGACGAAGGATGCAAGGGCCAGGGCGTTGGCCCGTATGGGGCCACAGAGTCAGAGGCAGCAGAGGCAGAGGCACATGCAGATGGCAAGGATTGAGGATCAAGTCTGGCTAAGTAAGAGAGATCCACAGACCATCGTCTAACACAACCACCGGCGTCATCCCTCCCACTGCAGTTGTTGCGATCATCCCACCATGTAACGCCACTAGTAGCACTTCCAGCAACGTCTCTGCTACTGCTGACATCTGCTGCGGTCTGCCTGGCCCGACCTGCTCCGAGCGAATCAGAGCGCGCCAGATCAGATCTCAGCAGGAAAGATTCCGCTGTAACGGATTGGCTTCTGGAGCGGCCGGCGAGTGGTTGAAGCGGTGCGGATAGGTGGAGAGCGGTGATGGGTTGTTGGTGAGAGGTGAGGGGATGTTGAGCCGTTTCGAAATGGGGAATGGAGGGGTGGGGGGAGTAGGCTTGAGATTGAGTAGGGGGCAGAACCAGAGGAGGGATGGTAGAAGGAGACGGAGCGGTTTGGGAATGGGCGAAGTGGGATTGGGGAACAGGATAGGGGGGGGGTGACGAGGAGAGGTGATGGGGAGGAGAGGAGCGGACATTGATATATGTATGGGGCGAGAGAGGGGTAGAGGGAGCAGCACCAGCTGCTGCTGTAGTGGTGGTGGTGGTGGAGGGAGGGAGGAAGGGATTGGGAGTGAGGAGAGGTGGGAAAGGCAGGGGATTAGGTGAAGCTGAGTGATGTTGATACTGCTGCTGCTGCTGCTGCTGGTAGCTGCGGTGGCGGAGGTGGTTGCTTTGCCGTGCGCTTGATGCCTGGTCAAGCAGCCGCTGCTGCTGGTGCTGCTGTAGGTGCTGGTATGGCTGGTGTGAGGTGGAGGAGGTTGAGGAGGTTGGAGAGGGGTGGGAGGAGGAGGTGGTAGAGTAAGGCACCGGATTGATCAGTGCTCTGATGGAGGGGAAGAAGAGAGGAGTAGAGAGGAGTAGAGAGGAGTAGAGAGGAGGGCACATGTAAGTTAGCTTGAGAATACAAGGAAACAGTTAAGGTGAATGTGGAAAGTCACATGGTTTATAAGCGCTCTGATGAGACAGAGGAGGGGAGAGTGGGGGGGGGGGGAAGAGGGGGGAAGAGGGGCGAAGAGGGGGGAAGAGGGGGGAAGGGTATGAGGGCCGGTAGGTGGGGGACCAAAATTGTGACGATGAAGAGAAGGCAGCGGATAGAGGAGGGGGGGATGTGGGAAAAAGAACAAAACAAGGTGCCCATCGAGGGGGTACTTCTAGAGTCTATCGGAGAGTGTTTGGAACAAAGGGGAGACGCAATACAAGGGGTAGAGGAGGATGATGGTGGGGGGCGGTGTGGGGGAGGGGGGGGAGGAGAATGTGGAGGGAATGGAATAGGAGAGTGCGTACCGGGTCATTGGAGAGTGTTCGAATGCAATGGACCGAAGGGCCTGAGGGGTTTTACAACGAGGGGAGGAATAGTAGAACGAGCAAAGGTTGGAAAGGAACAGAACAACCAACCAACCCAACCCAACCCAACAGAGGAGTAAGCGAAATGCGAAATGACACCCAACCCAACCATTCTACAGCAGCAACATGAACAGTAGTATCGTTACAGTACCACAAGCAGAATCATATCAGTACCATGAAACGAGTCATGTTGCACCATGCACAGCAGTACCTGAACAACGTCCCCTGTCAGCCCATAACCAAGCCCTTTCAAGCCTTACCCAAACAACACCCCCCATGGCTGGTCGACCCCCAGGGTCACTCTCCGCGCACCTCATGGCAATGGCAGCCACTTGAGCCATGAGGTGCACGACTCCACGAGCAGTACCCTTTGAGGTGCTCTAAAGCGTGCCCTGACTTGGCAGGTATCCCCGTGCAAGGCACGCTTTGAAGTGACTCAACAGGCAGGAATGCCCGCGAGGGGATGCACTGGGAAAGCCGGCTAGGCAACAGACCCCAGGCAGTTCCCTTGGCTGTAGGCAATCAACCCTCGGCTTGAAGCACAGTAATCACCTACCAACCCGTGATCAATACCTCCCCACGGCTCACCTGAACGACATCCCCCATGGCTGGGCGAGCTGAGGGCTCATTCGCCGTGCACCGCAGGGCAATAGCTGCTGCCCGGGCCATGGCTTCAAGCGGGTAGCTGCCGCCCAGGAGAGGGTCGGCAAACTGCCTCAAACCTTGTTTGCTGTTGATGGGATGGGATGGGGTGGGGTGGGGTGGGGTGGGGTGGGAAGTGGTTGGGTGGGACCGGAGGAAGATTCTTGATTTACTTTCTGAGTGTAAACAAAAAACAGGGAATAATAGGGAAGAAGCACATATGGGAGGATGACACACGCATATGCATGCACATATGAGGAGAGGAAAGGGGCTTGGCCCATGCCCATGGATGGAGCATGCATGTGCATAGGGAAATGTGGTGGGCGTGTCAGCATATACATACGAGGAGAGGAGGGGCTTCGCCCAAGCCACAATGCTCGAGACGCCTGGTCTAGGGATTGCCACTGCCACAGCTGCTGCTGCATCCCCTACAGCCGCTGGCCCCCCTGCATCGGATGCATTTGCCTCGGCGGCAGCAGAGCTGGAGAGAGATGAGCCTATCGGTGACTTGTAAGACGTGGGCTCTAGGGATGTGAGGGCGGGGCGGCCGGACAGCAGCTCAAGCAGCACCACCCCGAAGCTGAACACGTCGCTCTTTGTCTGCACTCGGCCGGTTAAAGCATACTCCGGCGCCATGTACCCAAACGTGCCCCGCATGTGCCGGGACTCCACACCCCCCCCTTGCCCCCCCTCCCCCAGCTCCATAGCCCTGTCTTGGCCCTCCCTTCCAACTCCCCCCTCCCCACTCTCCTCCCTTCCCTTCCCGGCCCCCTCCCCCTCCCGTCGCTCCTCCTCCTCCTCTCCATCCCCGCCTAACCTCCCGCCCGCACTCCCTCCCCTCACCCCATCCCCAACCGCCCTAGCCAGTCCGAGATCCGCCACCCTGGCCGTCAGATCCGCGTCCAGCAGAATATTGGACGTCTTGAAGTCGCGGTGGATGATCCGCGGACTGGAGTCCTCATGCAGGTAAGCCAGCCCCTGCGCCGTACCCAGCGCTATTCTCAGCCTCATGGCCCAGTCTAGAACGATCGGGGCGGGGTTGACGGAGGGGGTGGGGGTAATGGAGGCGGCGGGGGTGATGGAGGTGGTGGGGGGTCTCCCCTGGGCGTCGCCCGTGGGTGCTTGCTCTTGGAGGTGGTGGGGGGTGGTGGGGGTTCTGTCGTGCCCCCGATGCAAGTGCACCCTCAGGCTGCCGTTCTCCGCCAGCTGGAAGACCAGACAACGCACGCCGCCCTCATCGCAGATTCCCAGAAGCTTCACCACGTTCTTGTGGTTCAGCCGGCTTAGCAATCGAGCCTCTGATAGAAAGTCCCTCTCCCCCTGTTGATCCCCCTCCCCTCTCCCACTCCTCTCCCTCCTCCCCATCCTCCCCCTCTCCCCCTCTCCTCCCCTCCTTCCTCTCTCCCTCCCCTCCCCTCCAACCCCACCCCCTACCTCCTCAGTATCCAACCCAGAATCGAATCTGGAATTGGGCGGCAAATCCAATCTTTTCACGGCCACGAGTGTGCCGTCCGGCAAGCACCCTCGGAACACCTGGCTGGACCCGCCTCGGCCAATCAGGTTGCTCGGGTGGAAACCACCGGTGGCTGCGTGCATTTCTGCGAGGGAGAACGAGAAGGTGGCTTCGCCAAAGGGGGCTAGAGCCGGTCTAGGGGGATTCACTCCCCTGGGGGGGTTCGCTCCCCTAGGGGCTCCGCCATAAGCTGTTTTGCCCATGCCTGCTGCTACTGCTGCTGCTGTTTCTACCACTCCTGCAGCCCCCATTGCTACTCCTGCTGCCGCTGCCGCTGCCGCTGATGCATCCCCCCCAAGTATATCTGCTGCTATGGGCCCAGCACCAGTAGAGCTATCAGCTCTCTCCCTTCTTATCTCACCAGCCAAAAGCACATGTGCCTCTGATGCAAGAGGTGTGTAATGATCGTCATCACTCTCCCCCCCATTTTCCTCCTCCTCCTCCACCTCCCCACCTCTCCCTACCCGCCCAACACCCCCTCTCACTCTCGCCCTACTCTCATCATCCCTCTCCTCCCTCTGCCCGTCCTCACCCACTCTCCCCCCTCGCTCCCACCCTGTCCTCTCCTCATTCCCCTCCCTCCAACCCCCCTCTCCTGTCCTCGCACCAACCCCCCCTCCTCTCTCTCCCCTTCCGCCTCCCCCCTTCTCTCCTCTGCTTCTCGCGCCCGCCACCAGTTTCGCAACCCCCCTCCCCACCCGCTCCCACGGCCGCCTCGTAACACACCAAACCAGCACACAGAGCGCTATAATCGCGAGAACTAAGGCTGGGAGAACGAATATGATCATCACCTTCCAGTAAGGCATTCCAGAGGCAGGAGGAGGGGGTGGGTTGGAGAAGGGAGAGGAGGAGGGGGAGGAGGAGGAAGAGGAGGGAGGGGAGGAGGGGATTAGAGGAGTGGGAGAGGTCGAGGGGAAAGGCAGAGGAGGAGGGGGTGGCGGGCGTTGGCCTGGGGGGAATGAAAGGGGGGGAGGGAGAGATGGGGGAGAGGAGGAGGGGGGAAGGGGGAAGGGGGGAGAGAGGAGGTAAGGTCAATCGTACAGCACCAGACAGGGGGGGGGTGGTGGTTGGTAAAAGAGACGGGGGGGAAACCCGAGAGATTCACAAAAAAGAGGACTCAGGTACTGTAGGGTCGACTCAGAAGGACGCTGGGAACACATGCGTGAGGAGTCTAGTTTTGAGGAGCCTCAACACTGGAACACAGCGGGAGTCTAGTTTTGAGGCGCCTCAACACTGGAACACAGCGGGAGTCTAGTTTTGAGGCGCCTCAACACTGGAACACAGCGGGAGTCTAGTTTTGAGGCGCCTCAACACTGGAACACAGCGGGAGTCTAGTTTTGAGGCGCCTCAACACTGGACCACAGCGGGAGTCTAGTTTTGAGGCGCCTCAACACTGGAACACAGCGGGAGTCTAGTTTTGAGGCGCCTCAACACTGGAACACAGCGGGAGTCTAGTTTTGAGGCGCCTCAACACTGGAACACAGCAGGAGTCTAGTTTTGGGGCGCCTCAACACTGGAACACAGCGGGAGTCTAGTTTTGAGGCGCCTCAACACTGGAACACAGCGGGAACAGGGATAACCCAGCGGGCTCTTCTCTCACCTGGGTTCACTCCTATACAGGCGCTGCATTCCCTCATCTGGCTTCACTACTATACAGGCGCTGCATTCACTCACCTGGGTTCACTCCTATACAGGCGCTGCATTCCCTCACCTGGGTTCACTCCTATACAGGCGCTACATTCCCTCATCTGGGTTCACTCCTATACAGGCGCTGCATTCACTCACCTGGGTTCACTCCTATACAGGCGCTGCATTCCCTCATCTGGCTTCACTACTATACAGGCGCTGCATTCCCTCACCTGGGTTCACTCCTATACAGGCGCTGCATTCCCTCACCTGGGTTCACTCCTATACAGGCGCTGCATTCCCTCACCTGGTTTCACTCCTATACAGGCGCTGCATTCCCTCACCTGGGTTCACTCCTATACAGGCGCTGCATTCACTCACCTGGTTTCACTCCTATACAGGCGCTGCATTCCCTCACCTGGGTTGAGCACCAGAATAATTTCGTACGCCCCAAACAGTTGGCGGTCGAGCAGCAGAGATCCGTTCAACAGCAGCCGTCGGATTCGATCCACTTCTGCCACACTAAGCCGATCCGTGAGGGGCTGCTGGGCGGCAGGGGCGAGAGGTAGGCGGGAGGAGGACTGTAGGAGGCGACTGGCTTTGCCCGACGAAGAGGAGTGGTGCGACTGGGAGGGGAGCCCCGGTGGGGCGGACAAGGGTCGCCAGGAGGTCGTGGTTGCTGCTGCAGTCGATGCCACCGCTGCTGCTTCTGCTTCTGTGGCTGCTTCTGCTGCGGTTACGGCTGCGGTTAATGCTGCTGCTTCCGTAGCTGCTGTTGCAGATGCGGTTTCTCCTGCTTCTGCTGCGGATGCGGTTAATTCTGCTGCTTCCGTAGCTGCTGTCACGGATGCGGTTTCTCCTGCTTCTGCTGCCGATCCAGGCGTTAATGCCGCCGCTGAAGCACCAATCGCTGCCGCTGAAGCACCAATCGCTGCCGCTGCAGCAGTTGACGCAGCAGCAGCAGCAGCAGCAGAGGGGGAGGAGGAGAGGAGGGGCAAGAGGTAAACCGTGACGTCTAGAGCAGCAGGGTCAGGGTCGTAGTTGACAGCCCAGACCTGCAAAGCGTGTGGTAACAGGGTTACCAAAGACAGAGACACAGAACAGAGGGCGCAGGGTTGGGGAGGGGGGAGGGGGGGGAGAGAGGAGGGGGGGGGGGGGGGGGGGAGGGGGGGTTATGGAGGAACAAATAAGAGACTTGGAATTAACTCAGGTGAGTGCACCTGGATGCGTTCGCTCTAGGGAAACAAGTTGCACCTACAGCTGTAAGCGATTCTTCAGAACTCCCAACCGCTGGATGAGAACTCTGCAAATTCACCTACAACACGAGGGACTTCACCAACTCAGGTGAGTGCACCTAGATGCGTTCGCTCTAAAGATACATAATGGAGAAACACTTTGTGATGGTGATTATAGGGGAGAGCACAGGTGCACGAGGAAGGGAAGAGGGCGGAGGAGGTGGGGGGGGAGGGGAGGGGGAGGGGGAGAGGAAGAGGGGAAGGGGAGAGAAAGCTTACGTCGACTTGTTCTTTTTGAAGAGCTAGAGATGCAGCCGTTTGGGCAGTGAAGGTGGGGACGTTACGCAGAAAGAGGGGAGGGGGGGAGTGAGTACCAGGGAAGTAAGTAAGGGAAGGGAAGGGAAGGGAGGGGGAAAAAAGACCTCACCTCAACCTGTTCCTTTTGAAGAGCCAGAGATGCAGCCGTTTGGGCAGTGAAGGTGGGGAGGTTCTGCAGGAAGGAGTCGAAGTCGGCGTAGAGCTTGATAACAGCGATCATAGGGAGGCCACAGGTGCAGGGGGGAGGGGCGGAGGGCGCAGGAGAGGAGGAGGCGGATGGGGCGGGGAGAAGGACGTAGGTGTCAGGGCAGGCGGGGCAGTCTGGTAAGGGGGGAAGGGGGGGGAAGGGGGGAAGGGGGGGGGGGGGGGAGAAGAAGGGGAAAGGAGGGGTGTGGTGAGGAGGGAGGAGAGGAGAGATGGGTCACTGGGTGACTGGGGGGAGCGGGGGGGGGGGTAAGGAGCCGAGAATCAGCTGGTGTGCACAAATCGGAGTGAGATGGCAGCACTGTGATAGCAGGCTTGTTTTGAGGCCTCTCAAAACATAAACGAGATGAAACGGGACTAGGACTCACTCCTGCTATCCGGTGGTGGTGGCGGCAGCAGCAGGGGCGGGGGCGGCAGCACAGGCGCAGGCGGAGGCTTCCATATCGTCACAGGGGCGTGGGAGGAGTTGGGGTGGGGCAGGAATGCGGGGTGGGGAGGGGGAGGCGCTGGTGCACGGGCAGGTGGAATCTCAGGTGGTGGCTTCAGTGGTGGTGACTGTAGCGGAGGAGATGGTAATGGGGGTGAGTGTAACGGAGGTGGTTTTGCTGGTGGGGGTTCTGGTATGGGGGGCTGGGTTGGCGGTTGTGCTGTAGGGGGTGGGGATGTAGTAGGAGGAGGGGGGGAGAGAGCAGGGGGGGAGAGTGGAGAGGGGGAGGGGGGAGGGTATAGAGAAGGGGGGAGTGGGGAAGGGGAGAGTGGGGAAGGGGGGAGTGGGGAAGGGGGGAGTGGGGAAGGGGGGAGTGGGGAAGGGGGGAGTGGGGAAGGGGGGAGTGGGGGAGGTCTGGGTGGGAGGAGAGGAATGAGGGGCGAAGGGGGAATATCTAGAGGAGGGGGAGAGGGAGGAGGGTGGGGAGGGGGATGAGGAGGGGAGAGGACAGGCGCCGGAAGGACTGGGCCGAGGGTGAACGGAGGAGTGGGGGGTGGTGAGGGGGATGAGAAGGGCGGGGGAGTGGGCGACGATGGGGGAGAGGAGGGCGGAGGGGAGGGGGAGAGTTGGGGAGTAGGGGGAAGTGGGGGAGGGGGGAGAAGAGAGGGGGGAGGAGGAGATTTGGGGAGCGAGGGGGGGGGTGGCTCAGTGGTGTTGGTCATATTAAGGGAGTCTGAGGGCGGGGGAGGGAGGAAGTTGGGGGGGGAGGGGAAGGGAGGCGGAGACGGAAGGAGGGAGACAGGGGAAGGGGTAGGGGGACGGTTTGGGGGACGGCTTGGCGGAATGAGTGGGGGAGGGGGGATGGGGATGGGAGGGATGGAGGGGGGGAAGGGGGAGAATGAGGGGGAGGGGAAGGAAGAGCGGGAGGTTCTTGGGGAGGAGGCGCTGGGGGCGGGGGAGAAGGCGGAGGGGAAGGTGGAAGAGAGGGCGGGGGGGATCAATTCCTTGATTAGGTGGTGGGGTGGAGGGGAGAGGAGGGGTAAAACCTTGAGGGGGGGGAGAAAGGGGCGGAGAGGGAGAGGGGGGAAGTGGAGGGGGGGGTGGGGAGGGGAGAGGGGAAGGGGGGGAGGGGGGTCTGGGAGGGGAGGGGGGAGGGGCGGCGGGGGAGTTCATATCTCCAAGAGGGGGGGATGAGGGGTACGGGGGAGAGGGGGAGGGAGGGGATGGGGGGGGGGAGGGATTGGAGGGAGGGGAGAGGGGAGGAGGAGAGGCAGGAGGCAGGGGAGGAGAGGAGGGAGGCAAAGGGGGAGATGGTGGCTTGGGTGGGGAGGGAGGGGGGGAAGCAGGAGAGTCGAGTCCCCCGAACGGGGGCAATGAGGGGTAGGAAGTGGGGGGGGAAGGGGGAGGAAAAGGGGCAGGAGGCGTGGGGGGGGGGGAGAGGCCTGAGGTGGAGAAGACAACCAGTGGGGGGGGGAAGAGAAAGGAGAGGAGAAAAGGAGCAGGAGATTAGCAGAACGGAGAGAGGCCTGGGCTGGGCTGGGCGCTCTGAGAGCGAAAGACTGCGAGCATTCGCCACAGTTGATGCGACAGCTGGAAACAGAAGGGAGAGAGGCTGGGGTGCTCTGAAAGAGCAAGAGCTGGAAACAGCGAATATGCAAGAGCTGACTTTTGAGTCGACTCAAAAGTCAGCTGGAAACGGCAAAAATGCAAGAGCTGGAAATGGCAATGGATGGTTGTGAAAGGGGAGTGGACTATCCGTGTGTAATGAGTCTATTTTTGAGTCGTCACAAAATAGACTTATTACAAGTGGATTACTTGAGGTGTGAGAAGACGAGTATACTTCAGCCTTGAGGTGTGAGAAGACAAGCACACATGGCAGGAACACACCACGTGTGCGACAGAGAGTGCTTTTGAGGCGCCTCAAAAGCATGGCAGGCACGCACCACGTGTGCAACAGAGAGGAGAAAACCGAGTATAAGAAGGAAAAGCGAGTATAAGAAGGAAAAGCGAGTATAAGAAGGAAAAGCGAGTATAAGAAGGAAAAGCGAGTATAAGAAGGAAAAGCGAGTATAAGAAGGAAAAGCGAGTATAAGAAGGAAAAGCGAGTATAAGAAGGAAAAGCGAGTATAAGAAGGAAAAGCGAGTATAAGAAGGAAAAGCGAGTATAAGAAGGAAAAGCGAGTAGTATAAGAAGGAAAAGCGAGTATAAGAAGGAAAAGCGAGTATAAGAAGGAAAAGCGAGTATGAGAAGGAAAGGCGAGTATAAGAAGGAAAGGCGAGTATAAGAAGGAAAGGAGAGTATACGAAGGAAAGGCGAGTATACGAAGGAAAGGCGAGTATACGAAGGAAAGGCGAGTATACGAAGGAAAGGCGAGTATACGAAGGAAAGGCGAGTATACGAAGGAAAGGCGAGTATACGAAGGAAAGGCGAGTATACGAAGGAAAGGCGAGTATAAGAAGGAAAGGCGAGTATAAGAAGGAAAGGCGAGTATAAGAAGGAAAGGCGAGTATAAGAAGGAAAAGCGAGTATAAGAAGGAAAAGCGAGTATAAGAAGGAAAAGCGAGTATAAGAAGGAAAAGCGAGTATAAGAAGGAAAAGCGAGTATAAGAAGGAAAAGCGAGTATAAGAAGGAAAAGCGAGTATACGAAGGAAAAGCGAGTATACGAAGGAAAAGCGAGTATAAGAAGGAAAAGCGAGTATAAGAAGGAAAAGCGAGTATCAGAAGGAAAAGAAGGAATACAGCAAGCAGGAGGCGCGGGCAGGTTGTTGGGCGGTGACGACAGGAGAGACAGGAGAGACAGGAGAGACAGGAGACACAGGAGAGACAGGAGAGACAGGAGAGACAGGAGAGACAGGAGAGACAGGAGAGACAGGAGAGACAGGAGAGACAGGAGAGACAGGAGAGACAGGAGAGAGAGGAGAGAGAGGAGAGAGAGGAGAGACAGGAGAGACAGGAGAGACAGGAGAGACAGGAGAGAGAGACAGGAGAGACAGGAGAGAGAGACAGGAGAGACAGGAGAGAGAGACAGGAGAGAGAGACAGGAGAGACAGGAGAGAGAGACAGGAGAGAGAGACAGGAGAGACAGGAGAGACAGGAGAGACAGGAGAGACAGGAGAGAGAGGAGAGAGAGACAGGAGAGACAGGAGAGACAGGAGAGACAGGAGAGACAGGAGAGACAGGAGAGAGAGACAGGAGAGACAGGAGAGACAGGAGAGACAGGAGAGACAGGAGAGAGAGGATAGAGAGGGGAGACAGGAGAGACAGGAGAGACAGGAGAGACAGGAGAGACAGGAGAGACAGGAGAGACAGGAGAGACAGGAGAGACAGGAGAGACAGGAGAGACAGGAGAGACAGGAGAGACAGGAGAGACAGGAGAGACAGGAGAGACAGGAGAGACAGGAGAGACAGGAGAGACAGGAGAGACAGGAGAGACAGGAGAGAGAGACAGGAGAGACAGGAGAGACAGGAGAGACAGGAGAGACAGGAGAGACAGGAGAGACAGGAGAGACAGGAGAGAGAGACAGGAGAGACAGGAGAGAGAGAGAGACAGGAGAGAGAGGAGAGAGAGGAGAGACAGGAGAGACAGGAGAGACGAACAGGAAAAGAAGAGGTGGAAGGAGAGAGGAAGAGGAAGGGGGAGAAGAGGCAGTGCGAGGGGAGACAAGACGGAGAGGAGCTGACCTGGCGTTGCTGGTGGCTGAGGTGGTGGGAGCTGGGGTGGCGGGAGGGGAGGGGCGGGAGAGGAGGGAGGGAGGGGAGGAGGAGGAAGAGGAGGAGGAAAGGTGGGCGGGAAAGGAAAAGGGGAGGGAGGAAAGGGAGAGGAGGGAGGGGAAGGAGGAGAGGGAGGAGAGGGAGGAGAGGGAGGAGAGGGAGGAGAGGGAGGAGAGGGAAGAGAGGGAGGAGAGGGAGGAGAGCGAGGAGAGGGAGGGGAGGGGGGTGGGGGAGGAGGGGCATGTAACGATGGTGGTGGTGGTGGTGGTGATGGTCCCTGGAGCAAGGGGGAATGCGCATGGGTGTTGGTGCATTTGCATGAGTAGGGATGCACATGGATGCATCGGGCCACGTGCAGGGATGCGCTTGGTTGGGTGTGGTGGGTGGATGCATGGATACACGGTTGGATGCATGGATGCACGGATGCATGGATGCGCGGATGCACAGATGCACGGATGCACGGATGCATGGATGCATGGATGCATGGATGCACGGATGCACGGATGCACGGATGCACGGATGCATGGAAGCACGGATGCATGGATGCACGGATGCTTGGATGCACGGCTGCGTGGATGCATGGGTATGTTCGCGGGTGGGTGAGTGGGTGAGAGTGTGACATTGGTAAAGTGGAAACCACAGATCACGAGTAACGATAAGGAGCAAGAAACCACAGCAAGAAATTACAGATCACCGAAAAAGGACGAAAAGGGAGAAGTGATCTGAGGTGGTCATAGATTGGATACATCACAAAAGGCCGGCACTCTCTCTTTGAAGCCTTGCATGGCACCTCGAATACCGAGGCACCTCAGGAACAGAGGCGCCTCGGAAACAGAGGCGCCTCAGCTGCGTTGCAGAAGACTAGCTTCAACAACCGGGACGGAGAAGCAACCCAGCAGCAGCGACGTACCGAAGATGAGGAGGCCGTTGCGAATGGGAGGAAGGAGAGCAGGCGAGGAATCACCGCATGCGTGACAGCGGCGGTAGCTCTGGGAGCTGGCGTGGCAGACAGAGACTCGCGAATGTGGAGGAGAATCCGATACGTGTGGTGGGAGGCCTGCAAGTGGGAGGAGACCAAGGGGACGAGTGAGGGAGTGAGTGAGGGAGTGAGTGAGGAGTGGGCGAGAATGAGTGACTGGGTCAGATAGAGCGAGTGAGGAGGTGAGGGAATGGGTGGGAGAGGGAAGAGGCGTGAGAAGGGGAGGCGGGCCAAGTTGCAGAACGTGGAAAGGAGGGTGAGAAAAGGGTGAACACCCCATACCATATTGGACAGTTGCGAGAACAGTTGAACCCATCTCAACCGCTGACCACCCCTCGTTCTCTCTTCCTGAACCTGCTCAGGTGAATCTTCAGGTGCCGAGACAACGCCTGGCGTTGCTAATGGCAGTTGAGACGTGGGACCATCCAGGCTAAGTAGTGGCAACAGCGACCGGAGGAGGGGAGATGAGGGCGAGTGGGGGGGAGACGAGGGAGATTGGGAGGAAAGAGGAGGAGGACGAGGAGGAAGAGGGGGAAGAGGGGGAAGAGCAAGGGGGAGGGAGATGTTCCACGTGTGCGTGATGATGTGGCGCGCCATGAGCCATGCAAGCCATGCCACGTCATCGGCGCGGTGCTGACGCAGCCAGAGGGAGCCAGGTGGCAGCAGCCTGTTGGGGGGGGTGGAGGACGAAGGTGCATGGTGGAGAAGGGTGATGGGGGATGGGAAGCGGTGGAAGTGGTGGAAGGGAAGTGAGGCACGTACCAGCACATAGGAGTCAAGGCTAGAGAGGAAGGCCGAGTGGGGGGCCTACATACCAGCAGAGGGAGTCGAGGCGTATGTCGGAGCACGACCCATCGGCGCACATCAGCCTCAGCGACCTGCTCGCATTCACCTCCGCCAGAAGCTCCTTCCAATCGCGCACTGACACCTGGCTGCCTGCCAGCCACAGCAGCGCAACCACTGGCCTCTTCCTGCTGCTGCTGCTGCTGCTGCTGGTCGTGGTGCGACCGCCAGTGCTGCTATCCAGCCCCTCCTCTACCGACTGCTGCAGCAGTCTCAAGCATGGAACAACCCCTTCCCCAGAACACCTATGCATCCCTCTATCCGCTTCTCGCTCTTGCTGCCGCACTTGCTGTTGTCCCCGAGCCTGCTGTTCCCAGACCTCCTCCTCCATCCCAAGCCCCATCCGAGCTAGCAGGTCTGGCATTTTGTCGCACATGCTGCCTGCTACAATCAGCCCTACGGACCCACTCGTCAAGTTACCATACCTGGCAGCAGCAGCCGATGCTGCTAGTCGACCAGATGCCCTCGATTTCTTCCGCTGAGCCTTTCTCCGACTCTGCTGCCCCTGCTGCTGCTCCTCGTCCTGCTGCGCGCGCCCCCGATCGCCAGGGTCTGCCACCCTGCTCTGCGAGGACGGGCTCTGGACCTCGAGCTGCCACTGCCTAGCTGCATTGCCTCCTCCGACATTTACCTCAACCCTCTGCTGCTGCGGCTGAGGCTCCTGCTGTTTCTGCTGCCCTTGCTGACCCTGCTGCTGCGGCTGAGGCTCCTGCTGTTTCTGCGGCCCTTGCTGCTCCTGCTGCAGCTGCGCCTCCTCCGGTTGCTGCTTAGGTGCTTCCTGCTGCTGCTGCTTCTGCTGCTGCTGCAGCCCCTCTGTGAGATGCGATTGCAGAAGAGCCAAGGGCGGCGACAGCATCGCCACGTCAGCAGCGCCATGGGCGGCGTGGGGAAGCAGCAGCGCGTGCCAGCAGTGCTGGTTGACGGCGCGCGGAACGCTGGCATTGGGGGAGAGAGAGAGGGGGGAACGCGCGGACGAGGGGGAACATGGTGGCGGAGGGGATACAGGATTGGGTGAGCTCAAGGGAGGCGTTAAGGAGGAGGATCTGGGATTGGTGGAGAAAGGAGTGACGTGGAGGGGATAGAATCAACCACAGAAACCTTAGATGGCACAAGCGCGAATATTTCTTTCAAGAGGCTTCGTTATAAGAACACGGAGTCGGATCGTCGGTACCCACCATTTCCAGTACGGCGGAGGCGATTGGTCGTCGTCTCGGGTATCGCCATTGTTGACTGGGTGTGACTGTAGGAGGAGGTCCTTGCAAAGGGAGGAGGAACCGCCATCCACCACACACCACCGCACGTCTGATAACGTGTGCAGCACAACAAGACACAATGCGAGGATAGCCGTGGGAACTCATTCAGGCTTATACCGAGGATGATGTCAAAGCAGGAGAAGACACGAGACGACAACGGAGAGCAGCGAATGAGCAAAAAACGTCTTAGGGCGAGCCGGCGGTCGTTACCTTCACCGGCGGCTGGTAGATTAGCCGGCGAGAGCAGACTGACGATAAGGAGCGAGGCGAGCCATGTTCTTAAGAACGCTGCGGATCGCCAGGATCTAGTCGGAGCAAATCTATAGATAGGGTGCTGACGTGGGTCCAGCTGTCGCGGGTCGAACTGTCGCCGGTTGTGCTGACGTGGGTTGTGATGATCTGTTTTCCCGTTACCGCTAACTTTGACGGCTGATCTCGAATCGCCGCCGCACGGCCGGTTTAATCGGCGATTCAAACGAAATCGCGCCACTGGTATTAGTGGTGCGCTACTAGAAGCATCAGCCATTTTCCCTTCGCCAGGGAGCTGTCTCGCAATGCGGGAAAGGTAGTACGCGCTATAAGGTCATTCTTAGCGGAACGTCTCATCGTCAGCCTCACGGGTCACGAGCGACGTTCGCAGCAATGGATGAGAGCTCATCGCTTGTCACGACGCGTCGCGTCGCGGAGTCGGAATACTGATGCGCAATAGATTATTCCGCGTAAAGACTGACGAGACTGCAGCTCGCTCGGAACGCGACACTGCATTCGTTCCGAAATGCTCTACGCGTGCGCAACGCGATACCGGATACTACCTCCATCTGCAGGAAACCGGCCTGAATCTACCTGGAATGCGCTATTGAGGCGCCTCAAAACCTGAAATGTGCTAGGAGTGAAGACTGGGAGCGTCAGGAACATCCGAACGGTCTCTCCCCCTCCGCTCCCTGACACCAGCTCTAGAATGGCTAGGCTTCTTCCTGAGTACTGTACTACACCTGCTGGACTGTGTACGGAAACGCGAGGCGAAGAGTTCATGGAGCCATAGGTACGGACGTAGCGTGAAGCCTACAATCAGTCGTAACGTCACGTTAGTACCACAGCAGCACTGGTCGTCATGTCAGCGAGGGTGCACCGGAAAATCGCCTCTCTCTCTCGACTCGTCGGCGAACATGACCCAGCATCCATCCACAGGCTACGTCCTCTCGTCGCCAGTTTCGAATATTCTGCTACGAGTTCAGCCCAGTCAAGCTGAGGCAAGGAAGAAACCAAGGCGTGGGAATGCGATGATGGATGTTGGATGGAGGGAGGAGGAGAGAGGAGGAGGAGCGGAAACCTGCCAGGTTACCAGCGGTTGACTGGTATTCCTTTTAGCTTCTGCTCGGCGGAATCGAGATTGGCGCAGAGGTTTTGTAGAGCGCGTGGGTAAGGAAGTGCGCAAGGGGTGTGGTTCGGTTCGGATCTACGTCTGGGCGCGGTTAGGAGAGCTGTGCAGGTGCGCTGCCTGTGGCTCGGCTCGGCTCGGAAATGGCTTGAGCGCGCGGGTCCAAGTGGCGCCTCCTTTGCGGGTGAACGACACCATGGTGAGGGGGAAGGAGAGTCCCCCCTAACCAGGGAGGCGCGACATTTCCAAGGTGTTGGGGAGGGGAGAGGGGTGGGGTGCCCAAAGGAGAGTCGTTCACTGGACAGGACTGTCGCATCCCCCAACTTGTCGGGAATGCGCGACTGCATACGATGTGTTTCACGAATGCGACGGCGAGATTTCGGGTACAGCGGCCAATCCGTGATTGTATAGTGGTCAAGCGATGCAGCTACGATGATGCAGTTGTCCGTCTGTTTGGGAATGAAGAGGAAGGCCGGCAAAACTGTTCACGGAGGGGGAGGGGGGTGAAACGCGCGGGAGATTCTGAGCCAGGGGGCGCAGACCGTCGCTGTTTCGTAAGGAGAGCCTGATGTGTGGGGCCAGGCAGGAAGTGTTATTTTTGCGGTTCGGCTTGGTTCGGAAGCATGGAAGCGTGTGAGGCGTACGTGTCAACGCGTTTGTCGGTGTGTACAAAAGTCCTAGCAGTGTCACAGTACACGCCTTTCGGTGAGGAGTGTCATGCCGAGCCTCGTACGTACAATACGTTCGTGAGGCACGGACGAATCCCAGAATAGCGGAACTTCCTCGCGAAACTTCTCAGAATTCACATAGAACTGGTGTGACTGCAACGATCTTGACCCCGCCTTCCATCGTCTAGAACCGTTTCATTACAAGAGAGGGACTTACCTGCATGCATGCAAATCATTCTTTCCCACAAAATCGTTGGACTGATGAATATGCTGCTTGGGCTATCCACATGAGGTCCCAAAAATGGTGTACTAACAATCTATGCGAACGGCAAAAGACGATTTATTTGGCCTGATCTCAGAAGCATGAGCATTGCATTGATAGCTTGCTGCATCTGCAATACAATACGCAGGGGTGGCATATAAATGGAAGGGGCAAAGGGAGGAGACAAGATCATGGCATTTTTCAACAATAACAGTAACGAACTTCATGGCTCCACGGCAGACAGATGGATACAACAACCCAGCTATAACCAGCAACACTGGCCCTAATCCGTACAATGACACGGGCTTAAGGTGCATTCCTACGAGCCTTTCGTCGCGGCAGTTTGTAAAGTGACGGAAGGTTCCCGCCTATTCTGCCACTCGTCAGTTTGGCGCACCGCTGTTGTGCGACTTCTGTAACCATCGGATTGGACTCCGTAATGTACAGCAATATGAACGAGCCAATGGGGCCGAACCTTGCGACAGCTGCAAATTGACTGTGCTCCCAAATGTTAGGAGCAACAGAACTGGGAGTTCAGCCATATCCCGAGCATGGGCAGCCCCAAAATCCGCCCAGCCCACGAGCCAACGAACGGAAAAGAAGGCTTGTGTGCGTCCGATGGGGTGCTGCTAAGTTTTGCGTTTGTTATGTTGTCACATTTCTGCTATGGTCGGATTTTTTACTTTTGAATTTCAAACATGTTCGACAATCGGAATGTGAGTATACACGGAAACCCATGCATCACATGCCATGTGGAATCGCTGAGCTGTCGTCCAGGGTCGCAAACCAAGAACGCAATGTGATGAGAAGTTGGAGCAAACTGCTGCGCGGCTCGAGGAACCTACACCAAAAACATAAGCTAAACTGCTGTAGCTCGTAGGAATGCACCCTTACCTGCAATGGTGACTGTGGTGGCACGCTGACATCCACATCAAACAACACAGGCCGATCCTCCTCCTCCCGCCTCCTTGGGCAAAACAGCTTCACCCACAGCTTCACCTTCCCTATTTTCCCATCCAAACTCCCCTCTCCTTCGCCCCCTTTCCTTTCGTCTGCTACCACTCCCTCCTGGCTGCTCCCCGACCTTGGGTTAGTGTGAAATCCTTGCTCATGGTTCCCCTGTTTGCTTCTTCCTTCTTCTCCCTCACTCTCTGCCCCACGCTCTCCCTCACTCTCTCCCTCACTCTCTGCCCCTCTGTCAATCTCACTCTCTCCCTCAGCCTCTCCTCTCTTCCGTCTAGCAGCCTCCCTCACACTCATCTGTCCTCTTAGCACCGCCAGCAGCAGAACACCGTCTGCATTGCCCAGGCTAACAGACGGAATCAGTACTGCTGCACGGGAGGCAACGCCCTCTGCTGTTTCTGCTGCTGCTGCTGCCGCTGTTGATCCTTCTCCTGCTGCTTCTGATCCTTCCCCTGATGCTGCTCCTGCTGCTGCTATGGCTGCTTGTGACGTGCTGCCTTGCCCTGGTGTCACTCCACCAGAAGGCATGACTCTACCAGAATCCGGCACTTCACCACGAGGCACTACCCCACCATCAGGTGTGACTGTATCAGAATCCGTCACTTTATCACGAGCTGTCGCCCCACCATCAGGTGTGACTGTATCAGAATCCGTCACTTTATCACGAGCTGTCGCCCCACCATCAGGTGTGACTGTATCAGAATCCGTCACTTTATCAGGAGCTGTCGCCCCACCATCAGGTGTGACTGTATCAGAATCCGTCACCTTATCACGAGCTGTCGCCCCACCGTCAGGTGTGACTGTATCAGAATCCGTCACTTTATCACGAGCTGTCGCCCCACCATCAGGTGTGCCTATATCAGAAACCGGCACTACATCCGGCGCCATCTGCATGGCCCCTCCGCCCATCTCATGGTTGATAACCACAACAGCAGCAGCGCCTGCCGCCTGCGCTGCCAGCACTTTGTGTTGAAACGAGCACCCCCCCCGCATCACCACCGCCACCCGCCCTTCCACCTCACCGGGGTTCCACAGACGCCCCACACATGCTTCTGGAGGAGAAGCTTCCGCGAGGGTTCCGAGAATGACGCTGGAAGGAGAAGGGGAGGTGGTGCTGGAGCTGGGGACATCGGTGCTGGTCGTTGCTTCTGCAGCACCTGCATTTGGTACTGCTTCTGTGGCATCTGCTCCTGCTGCTGCATCTGCACCTGTTGAGGTGTCCCTTTCGTCCGCACCATCTGCCCCAGTTGCTGCCAGGCATTCCCCAATATCAGAAGGATTTGCCCTTGTCAGTTGAGGCTCAACATTGTCTATGACTTGCCGTCCCATGACGTCAGAAGCAGACGCAGCAGCAGCGGCACCAACATCAGAATCGGCATCATCATAATCGTCATCGTCGTCCTCACCGCCATACCCATCAGAATCAGCATCAGCACCCCCATCACCATCACAATAACCATCAGCATCTGCATTCCTTTGGTTGTCATCACCATCGGCATCAGCATCAGCACCACCATCACCATCACCATCATCATCATCATCACCCCCAGTCCCCAGAGGAGGTCCAAACTCAGCAGCCCCTGCAGGAAGATCGACGCTGGCAGCATCCCGCAAGTCATGCCCCCTCCCCTTTCCTCCCCTCCCCTCTCTACCCCTCCCAACAACGCTCTCTCCCACACCCACCTCCTCTCTTCCTCCTTTCTCTCTTACCTCCTCCCCCTCCCCCCTCTCCTCCTCGCGCTCTGTTATAGTCACATTTGATAGAACCCCAGAAGACTCTTTGACTGAGGGGAAATCAACCAGGCGCACCACACAGGGAGCCTCCGCTTGCCCCTTGTGCTCTGGGGGAGAGATGGGGGATGGGGGGGGAAATGAGAACGGGGAAGGGAGGGGGACGATAAGGCGAGGTGAGATCGAGGGGAAACTAACGACCTGAGTTTCACGGGGGGGAGTCAACCAGGTGCACCACACAGGGAGCCTCCACTTGCACCCTGTGCTCTGGGGGAAAGATGGGGGATGGGGGGGGGGGAGGGGGGGGAAGGGGGGGAAAGGGGAAGGGAAGGGGAGGGTGAGGCGAAGGCGAGAAGAGAGGGGAAAGGGGAACCAAAGTCCTGAGCTACGCAGGTAGAAATCAACCAGGCGAACCACACGAGAGGCTTCCACTTGCACCTTGTGCTCTTGGGGAGAGACGAGGGATGGGGGAGCGGGGAAAGTGGAACATATTTGCTGGACCTGGTGACAATCGCTGCCAGTGTTTGAGTGAGTGACACGCTGGGGACAACGCAGTGAGTGACAGTGAGAGTCACTCATAGTTGCTGCATCAGCTGGACACCCTAACGGATGCCACCGAATCCAGAGATGTCGGGGAAAGCAGCAGGGGCTGCTTTCCCCAGTGTATGAGTGCTTCAAACCTCGAACCAAAACCCAGAACAACCTCAAGAGGTTGAGGTGCCTCAGTGCTAGCGGTTGACAGCAACAGTTTGGAACCCTGAGAGGAGGATGAATGCAGCACAGCAGGGATTGTTCTGGGCCTTGGCACACTCACGGATGTGGAGGTTGACAGTGAGGGTCTGGAATCCCAAGAGGTAGGGGAATGCAGCCGGGAGGGCGTTCCAGGCGAAGCAGGAGGGGCCGCTCCACTGGTCCAGCATGAAGTAACACAGCACGCGCTGGTTACCAACCACTCGCGACACCACCCCGCCCAACCGCCCCCCACCAGCACCAGCATCACCAGCAGCAGCACCACCAGCAGCAGCAGCAGCAGCAGCACCGCCAGCAGCAGCATCACCAGCAACATTTGGATAGGGACTGTCCAGCACTACTGTGGGGCATGTGCCCTGCTCATCCCCGCCTTCTCCTCCTGCTGCCTCTGCTTCGGCTGCTGCTAGCTGTTGCTCCTTCTGCTGCTCCGTGTATGTGATGAAGGATGCAATGCGAGACACCTCCTCCTCTAAAGGGCTCCTCCAACTTTCCCCCCTCTGCTTCTGCTCTTCCCTTCCCTTCTGCCTTTGCTGCTGCACTGCTCTTTGCGCTTCCTTCTGCCTCTCCTCTCGCTTCTGCCTCTCCCTTTCCCTCCTCCTCTTGATTCTCCGCACCCTCTCCTCCCTTCCCCCCTCCCTCTCTCTTGTCTCTCTAGTCTCCCTCTCCGGATTTGCCATTTCCTCCCTTCCCTCCTCGTCTTTCTGCTTAGAGCCCTCCTCGTTTTCTTTGTCACTTCCAACCGTCACTCCCTCTCCCCCCACCGCTGTATTCTCGTTTCCTTTGTCGCTTCCTTTATCCACATCCACTATCCGTGACTTCTTCTGAGTCGTCTCAAACTCAAAATCTGGCTGCAGTGCCTGAGACTTCGCATCCAACCCTCCGCTTTGCACCTCCCTCCCCATGACCTCCTTCCCAGCGTCATCCTCTCTTCTCTGCACTTCCCCCACCTCCCCCCTCCCGTCCTTCTTCCCTTGCTTCTCCGCTTCCTCCACCTCCCCCCTTACCCCCTCCCCACTTCCCCCGTCCCGACTCTCCCCACCCTCCTCCTGCTCCTCCCATGCGCCATACCACCCCTTGCCCCCGTGCTCCCCCTTTGGAAACGCCCGCACGACTGCCTCACACGCCAGCTGCCTCCTTGCAGCTAAGCCCTGGTCTACTAGAGAGCCCAGGGGGGCCAGGGAGTTCTGGCACTCGCGTGACTCAAACGAGGGTTGCTGTGATTCAAGTTGGGATGGCTGTGACTCAGGCAACGGTTGTGATTGTAGACGATGTGATCCAACGGAGGGTTGGGACTCGTCGAAAGTTTGCGAGGATGGCAACACTTCAGCATGCGCGTCAGCATCCCCGTCGGCCTCCGCCTCGGCGACAGCAACCACTCGGCAGTCGCCAGCTGGCGACGTGTCCGGGTGGCCTTCTGAGGGGCAGACGACACGGAAGATTCTGGGAAGGTTCAGCGAGAGGAGATGGCCCTCAGTGGAAAAGACGAATCGGGCGGCGATGTCAATGTGGGGGGAGAAGAGGAGGTAGAGGTACCTGGCGGAAGGTAAAGGGGTGTGATTGTAGAGGAGCGGCATGATTATAGAGGGTATGTGATTGCAAAGGGATTTCAGCAGCAAGAGGCGTCCCTTGTGGAGAAGAGAAATCGGGCGGCGATGTCAATGTGGGGGGGGAAGAGGAGGTAGAGGTACCTGAACGTAGGTGAAGGGGTGTGATTATAGAGGGAGGGATGTGATTGCAAGGAATATTATCGAAGGAGATGGCCCTTAGTGGGGAAGTCAAATCCAGTGGCGATGTCCATGTGGGGGGAGAAGAGGAGGTAGAGACACCTGGTGGAAGGAAAACGAGAGGTGAGTCAAAAGAATTGTAGAAAGGATGATTATAGAGTGTAACAGACGGGTATTTTTTATAATTCTCAAAAATACCCTGCAAACGAGAGGTGAGTCGAAAGAGTTGTAGAAAGGATGATTATAGAGTGTAACAGAATATGAATTGGGTGACGATGTCAATGTGGGGTGGGGAGAGACGAGGAGGTAGAGGTACCTGACGGAAGGTAAAGGGGTGTGATTGTAAAGGGGATGTGATAGCCAGAGGAGGTGTCCCTTGGTGGAAGAGAGCAGGCAACAATTGCTGATAGCTGTACTGTATGTTGTCGGAAGCAACATATCTAAACCATACACTACCCCCAAGAGTCCCTTAGAGTGGAAAGTAACACTTCAGCCTAGAGAGACTCTAACACTTAGTTGAGTGTTTCCGAGAGAAGGAATGACTCCATGTGGTTGTCAAATCTCTTTACAAGCACGCAAGCTTTCTCAAGTCTCTCATACAGCAGCAGCTACTCTAGCGCTTACTTAAGCGTTTCTGAGAGCAGGAATGGCTCCATGTGGTAGTCAATTCTCTTCAAACGCATGCAAGCTTTAAAAAGTCTCTCATATAGCAGCAGCTACTCTAGCGCTTACTTGAGTGTTTCTGAGAGCAGGAATGACTCCATGTGATTGTCCAGGCGATGGGACTCAACGTTGCCAATGCTGGCAAAGCCACACTCTGGAGTGTACACGCATGCAAGGAGGGCGGTGCACATGCAAGGAGGGAAGTGCACATGCAAGGAGGGCGGTGCACATGCAAGGAGGGCGGTGCACATGCAAGGAGGGCGGTGCACATGCAAGGAGGGCGGTGCACATGCAAGGAGGGCGGTGCACATGCAAGGAGGGCGGCGCACATGCAAGGAGGGCGGTGCACATGCAAGGAGGGCGGCGCACATGCAAGGAGGGCGGTGCACGCAATGAGGGCGGGCGGCATACATGGCAAGGCAATAGGCACCAGGCAGACAGTAAACTGATGCTGCATCCTGGGCCGAGCCCTGCTCACCCACCCTCCCATCATCAGCCTCCCCTTTCCACACACCACCAACCCCCCCCTGTGTTTGTGCTCACACCCACCTGTGTGTGTGACTGTGTCGATCGCAGGCTGCTTCTGAGTCAACTCAAAAGCATTTTCCGCACACCACCCCCCCCCCCCCCTGTGTGTGTGCTGATAGACAGAAACCCACCTGTGCGTGTGACTGTGTTCAGGGCTGCAGCAATCTCCCTCCCGATCTCCAGGTATGTGCGGTTGCCTGTGGCCTGTGAGAAGAGGGTGAGGAGTTGGGGTGGGGGAGAGGGTAGTAGATAGACACAGGGAAGGGGAGTTGGCAAGACTCCAATCTTCAGGTATGTGTGGTTGCCTGTGGCTTGCGAGGTGGGAACGAGGGGTGAGGTGGGGTGGGGAGGGGTGGGGAGGGGGGCCCGGGGAGAAAGTGGGCGGTAAGGTAAAATGGAGTATGATATGGACGAACAGGCATGACTGCTGCTAAGCGATGCACCAATATCCCTCCCTATCTTGAGGTACGTGTGGTTGCCTGTGGCCTGGGTCGAGAGGGACCACTGAGAGATGGTAATGCATGGGAAGTGATGGGTATGCCTAATGAAGTACGGGAGATGATGGCGTATGGGGAGAAAACCACAGTTGCTCCAAGGGCTAATCTCCAATGGACAGTATTCCAATTGACGAGGGTGAATCTATCTCCCCCGAGCAAGTGCCCTACCTTGAAGAGGAAATACGCACTCTCTGCCATCTCAGGCCGCAGGGGATAACCTCTCTCTCTGTACAGGCAGTGACACGGATGGGTGCGGGCAATAACGGGGAGAGGAAAAAAAATTGTCGCTACAAGTCGCTTCTAAGCTGGTAAGGAAGGCTAATTCACTGGAGAGCCAAAATGGAGGAAAGGCGAGCAGGAAGGAAAGGGGGGGGGGGGGGGCTGGAGGGGGGAGGGTGTGGGGCGCCTCAGCCGTTATACTTACACAGGATGAACGGCCGAGGCAGTCAGGCTGAAGAGCTCGGGCAGGAAGGAAAACTTTTGCCACACTGCCCAGAGGCCGCTGTGGATCACTCGGGCATCTGCGGTCTGCCCGGCAATAACCTGGTTTGGTGATGGACAGTGGCAGGAGGTGAGGCGGGTCGTGGAGGCTTGAGGTGAGGCAGGTGGAGGTGCGAATATAGGACGAAACAGCGAAACAGGAGAGGGGGGTCTACTCAGGAGACACGATGCGCAAGGCAGGGAAAGAAGGCTTCACGGTGCCTACAGCCTTCCGGGATGACTTTTGAGTCGACTCAAAAGACAAGATGCGCAAGGCAGGGAGAGTTGGCTTCACGGTGCCTACAGCCTACCTGCATGGCGGGCCAGAAGGCCTGAAGGGACGAGGCATAGTGCCTCCACAGCCCCAGGTGCCCGTTGCCCACGCCCACATCCAGCAGCCAGGAGAACGCAACATAGCTCTACAAGCACTTGTGATGCACGGCAACTGTATGGACAGTGGACACAGTGACAGTACCTGCATGGCGGGCCAGAAGGCCTGTAGGGACGAGCCGTAGAGCCTGCCCAGGTGCCCGTTGTTCATACCCACATCCAGCAGCCAGGTGACTGCAACATGGAACTACTACCACTTCTGATGCCTCGCTCATGTATTTGAGTCGACGAAGGCACACAGTGACAGTACCTGCATGGCGGGCCAGAAGGCCTGTAGGGACGAGGCGTAGTGCCTGCCCAGGTGACCGTTGTCCATACCCACATCAAGCAGCCAGCGCACCATCGGCTCGCCCCGCACCGCCATGTACCGCATTGCACCAGAGTACATCTGTAAATGGGTGGGGGGAACGGGAAGGGGGTTACAAGCAGCAGCCAGCGCCCCAGGGGCTCTCCCCTCACCACCGTGTACCGCATTGCACCACTGTGTACGGGATGGGAGTAGAAGAGGCAAGTGGTACGATTGAAGAGGAAAGGGGAGGAAACAGATCAGGGTGCTGGGAAGGAGGAAAAGAAGGGAAGGGGGAAATTGGGGGAAGGGGGGAAGGGGGGAAGGGGGGGAAGGGGGGGAAGGAGAGGAGGAGGGGAATCCCAGCAGCCAGCTCATTTCAAGGGGGCGGGTGTTTTGCGGTGGGTGGTTATGACGGGTGGGCGTTTTGATGGGGACAGGCGTTATCACGGGCGTGGGCGTTTCACTTAGGGCGGGCGCTTTCATGGGGGCGATGCTTTCAGGGGGGCACAATACAAGTGCACCAGTGCAGGACAATACAAGTGCACCAGTGCAGCACAATATAAGTGCACCAGTGCAGCATATTACAAGTGCAATAGTGCAGCACAATACAAGTGCACCAGTGCAGCGCAATACAAGTGCAACAGTGCAGCATAATACAAGTGCAACACTGCAGCATAATACAAGTGGAACAGTGCAGCATAATACAAGTGCAACAGTGCAGCATAATACAAGCGCAACAGTGCAGCACAATACAAGTGCAACAGTGCAGCACAATACAACACCATGGGCTCGCCCAGCCAACATGTACCGCATTGCACCGGATTGCAAGCATCTAACGAATCAAGCACTCTGACCTTGGAGAACATCCGCCGGAGATACCCCTTGCCCAGCAGCAGATAACCCTTGAGGAGGTACTGCAGGAAAGGAGAGGGAACCGGGGCAAAGCAGCCAATGAAAGTGAACCAGGAAGGCAAGGCGTGTGGACGGGAACCACTGAAAACGTCAGCCAATGCAGCCAAAATAAGAAAGCAGCCTTGCGTGCAGTGGCTGGTGCATTCAATCCTAGGCAAACATTACTCTGTCCAACTTTGTGCTGTGCACAGGGGCAACGGGCATGAGGCAACGGGCATGAGGCAACGGGCATGAAGCAACGGGCATGGGGCAACGGGCATGGGGCAACGAGCATGGGGCAACGGACATGAGGCAACGAGCATGAGGCAACGGGCATGAGGCAACGGGCATGAGGCAACGGGCATGAGGCAACGGGCACAAGGCAACGAGCATGGGGCTACGAGCATTGGGCAATGAGCATGAGGCAACAATGCGCATGAGGCGACGCGCATGGGGCAACGGCCATGAGGCAAAAACGGGAATGAGGCAAGGGGCACGAGGCAACGGGCATGAGGCAACGGGCATGGGGCAACGGGCATGAGGCAACGGGCATGGGGCAACGGGCATGAGGCAACGGGCATGGGGCAACAGGCATGAGGCAACGGGCATGGGGCAACAGGCATGAGGCAACGGATTGATCGATTGTTTCTATTAATATCCAGTTCAAGTCAACACTCACCTCAAAGAAGGAGTCTACGCCAGCACCAGCTGTGGATTCCCGCTGGAGCCACACTCCTACGTGCAACAAGGGGGTGAGTGAGAGGGAAGTGGGGAGGGGGAGTGAGAGAGACGGGAGAGTGACAGGGAGGGGAGAGTGAGAGGGAGGAAGAGTGAGGGGGAAGGCCGAGTGAGAGGGAGAGGGAGGGGCGAGTGAGAGGGTGGGGAGAGTGAAAGGGAGGGGGGAGTGAGAGGGAGGGGCGAGTGAGAGGGAGGGGCGAGTGAGAGGGAGGGGGGAGTGAGAGGGAGGGGGGAGTGAGAGGAAGGGGGGAGTGGAGATGGTGGATTTGTGCTGCAGCCACTCCTGAGTACGATATGAGAAGAGCGACAGGGAGAAAAGAGCGAGAGGGAGAAAAGAGCGACAGGGAGAAAAGAGCGAGAGGGAGGGAAGAGCGACAGGGAGAAAATAGCGAGAGGGAGGACAGGATGAGAGGCAAGGAAGATCGAGCGGGAGGGAAGGGTGAGGGGGGCGTGGAAGCCGAGAGGGGCATAACCACACGTGAGCTGGCGGGTTGGCGGGTTGGCGGATTTAAGCCTGAGATCTCTCTCTTCTGAAGTTTTTCTTTGAACCACTAGGACACGGATTTGCAAAATGTAGGCATTAAAAGAACTATGTACGCTTGCCAGTCCACGTCTTCGAGCGGCCTCAGAGGCATTGGTTGAAGTTTAGGCCTTCAAAAGGCTGAGCGCCACTGGAACATTACATGGAGACGGCTTTTCCCTTTGCAGAAAATTTCCCTTGACATGGAGCATTACCCTTTGCAGAAATTTCCCACACCCTTGCCAGCTTTTCCGGCACGCCCCTTTTGGCCTCTCCTCTCGCCCCCTCATGGGCTTTCCCCGCGGACCCACCTGACACGCAGCTGATGCCATTGCCCACGAGGTTCAGGGAGGATCTGCGCCTGTAGAGAGTGACCACTGCTATTTACGTACCTACCAGACCGTTGAGGCCAATGCTGGCGTGCTGCGTTGCTAGAATCACCACCCACCTGACACACTGCTGATGCCATTGCCCACAAGGTTCAGGGAGGATCGGCGCCTGTAGAGAGCGACCACTGCTGCCTCGGCCTTCACCTGGGGGGATGGAAAGGGGTGGGGAGGACGAAAGGCCTTTCAGAAGTCTCATAACTACGAAGATACAAGAGAGACGAGAGGGTACTGGGATCAGCCTTGCACGGGGGCAGGAATCCGCGGTATAAAAGTCTCAAAACACGTGCGTGCAGGAATTCGAGAAGCATGATCATGACTGTGGGTTGTGGCACAACCCCCTCACCTCACCTGATCAAGATGGATCAAGATGGATCATGGGCATGCGCGGAAGGTTTGCCGCCCTGGCAGACTACCGGCGCCAGCAGTGAGTGTGACTTGTAGCATGTACGAAGAGTATGTGCGTTGGTGGTAGTCCCCCCTCACCTCACCTGGAAGATGGGTTTGCCCGGAAGGTTTGCCGCCCTGGCAGACTACCGGCGCCAGCAGTGCATGCACGTGTGGGTCACTTCGTCTGACTGTCTCCCTTCGTCCATACTCCCCACTACCACTCGTCCGTTTCCCTTACCTGGAAAACCCGCATGCCTGACAGATTTGAAAGCACACTGAATTCCAGCAGCAGGGTTCCAATGCCAGCAGTGCATGTGACTAGGAGCAGAGCATGTGACTAGGAGCAGTGCACGTGACTAGGAGCAGAGCATGTGACTAGGAGCAGTGCACGTGACTAGGAGCAGAGCATGTGACTAGGAGCAGTGCACGTGACTAGGAGCAATGCACGTGACTAGGAGCAGTGCACGTGACTAGGAGCAGTGCACGTGACTAGGAGCAGTGCACGTGATTAGGAGAAGTGCACGTGACTAGGAGCAGCGCACGTGACTAGGAGCAGCGCACGTGACTAGGAGCAGTGCACGTGACTAGGAGCAGTGCACGTGACTAGGAGCAGTGCACGTGACTAGGAGCAGTGCACGTGACTAGGAGCAGTGCACGTGACTAGGAGCAGTGCACGTGACTAGGAGCAGTGCAAGTGACTAGGAGTAACACCATAGTATACAAGTGTGTGATAGACCCCCTCACCTGGAAGATGGGTATGCCTGACAGATTCGACAACACACTAAATTCCAGCAGCAGAGTGCTGGCGCCAGCCACGCATGTGTGAGTCACATCGTCTGGTGAATGAGTATCTCTTCTTGCCCATAATCCCCACCCGACTACCACTTGTTCGCCCCCTCACCTGGAAGATGGTAATGCCTGAGAGGTTTGACAGCACACTGACTTCCAAGCAGAGTGCCAGCGCCAGCAGTGCATGTGTGTGTCAGTCACTTCGTCTGGTCAATGGTCGCGTGAAAGACCCCTCAATCACAGTCCAACTACCATGTCTTCCTTACCTGGAAGATGGGTATGCCTGAGAGGTTCGACAGCACACTGAATTCCAGCAGCAGGGTTCCAGCGCCAGCAGTGCACGTGTGGGTGACTTCGTCCGGCAGCACTCCCCGGCGCAGATTCACCCATGCATAGGGGATGGGCGTTCCTGAGGAGAAGGCTGGGAGTAACCTGAGATTGTGGGGGGAGGTAAAGGGTGCACATTTGGGTCACTTCGTCTGGCAGCACCCCCCGGCGCAGGTTCAGACAGGCATAGGGGATGGGCGTTCCCGAGGAGAAGGCGGGGAGTAACCTGGGATCGGGGGGGGGGGGGGGGGGGGGGGGGAGGGTGCACACACGTGTGGATGACTTCGTCTGGCAGCACTGCCCGATGCAGATTCACCCAGGCCTAGGGGATGGGCGTTCCTGAGGTGAAGGCTGGGAGTAACCTGAGATTGTGGGAAGGGGTTAGTAGAGAGGGAAAAGAGAGGGAAAAAGGGGGGGGGAGTGTGGATGGAAAACTTCTTCAGGCAGCACTTCCCACAGCAGGTTCACCCAGGAGTAGGGGATGGGAGTGCAGGAGGAAAATGCAGGGAGTAACCTGGGAAGAGGGGAGAGAGTGAGAGAAGGAGGGGAAGGAGGGGGTTGGTGTGAGTGACTTCGTCTGGCAGCACTCCCCAGGCGCAGGTTTGCCCATGCATAGGGGATGGACGTGCCAGGGCAGATGGCAGGGAACAGCCTGTGGGAGCATGCAAGGGTCACTATGTCTGGCTGGTAGCTCTCCCCGGCCACCGCAGCTTCACCCATGCATAGGGGATAGGCTGGCAGCACCCACCAAGAAGAGGGAGTGCCGGGCAGCACCCACCAAGAAGGGGGAGTGCCGGGCAGCACCCACCAAGGAGGGGGGGTGCCCGGCATGTGGGGTTCAATAGGTCTGGCTGGAAGCACTCCCCATGCGCCGCAGCTTCACCCATGCACACGGGATGGACGAGACAGAGGAGAATGCGGAGAGCAGCCTGCGGGTGCCCAGGGGAATGGTGATTCTGTGGGGTGCACCCTTGGGGTGCAACCCACAATAAGGAAATCTTCGAGCTGTATCCAGCCTGACGCACCGGCCTGATGCACCAAGCTCAGCTCACCTGAGACTTAAAACAACCTGAATCCCACCTGAGACTCACCTGAAGCCCAAATCAATAGCCAGTTCCAGCAGACGGCCGTTGTACCCAGGTGCCAGGTGCACGCCAGCCAATGAGGGGTGGACAGATGGCAGGGTGGGGTCCCGGCTCTGCAGTATGAGCACGTGGGCGGAGAGGAGGCTGCCTAGCGCCCTGATGTTGGCCTCAAACACGTTGCTGGGGGGAGAGAAAAGGGAAAGGGGGGGAGAGGGGGGGGGAAGGGGGAGAGAGAGAGGAGATGGGGGGTAATGGGGTCCGTTGTGATTCAGGGCAGAGAAGAAAAAACAAACACACAGAAAGAAAGTGGATGTCCGTTGTGTCACATATCAAGGAAGGCGAAGGTAGAACGGAAAGGAAGAGGGAGAGGGGGAGAGACAAGGAGCGCTTCAAAGAGGCTTGGGGGAAGGGGAAGGGGAAGGCGAGTATGGAACACACACGCGTATGTCTAGATCGAAGGAGAGGTGCTGAGAAAGGTAGTCCACTCCCCAGTTGAACTCAGTCACATTGCCAAGGAGCTGCAAGGCGGAGAGGGTTTGGGGGAGGTGTTTAGGGGAGGAGGGGCAAGAAATCGAGTGATGCACATGCACACGCACAGAGGAGCACATACATAAGCACATGCGCATACACATGCACGTACCAGTTCGTGCTCAGGTCCATTCCACTCCCCCACCTACACACATGCATGCACCCAATCCGTGTTCCAAGCGACCAACCCAACTACTCATGCAACCAACCCACCTGCTAATGCAACGACAGACAGCACATACACGCAAACACATACACACAGACCAAGGCGCACAATACCTCCACAATCGCTTCGCTACCAGCAGTGCGCCTAGGCTCTCCATGAGCGTGCAAGCCATGCCACCATAGGGCTTGGTTGGACCAAGAGCAATGCGTTTTATTTCTACCACCACTCCTTACCAGCAGTGTGCCTAGGCTCTCCATGAGCGTCATTGCCATGCCATGCCACCGTAGGGCTTGGTTGGATCCAGAGCAACTGAGCAACTGAGCAATGCGTTTGATCCCTATCACTACTCCGTACCAGCAGTGTGCCCATGAGCGGCATCGCCATGCCACCATAGGGGTTGTACCCAGAGCAACTGAACAACTGAGCAACTGAGCAATGCGTTTAAACCCTACCACCACTCCCTACCTGCAGCGTGCCTAAGCTTTCCATGAGCGGCATCGCCATGCCACCATACGGGTTGGCTGGACGCAGAGCAACCGAGCAACTGAGCAACTGAGCAACTGAGCAACTGAGCAACTGAGCAACTGAGCAACTGAGCAACTGAGCAACTGAGCAACTGAGCAACTGAGCAACTGAGCAACTGAGCAACTGAGCAACTGAGCAACTGAGCAACTGAGCAACTGAGCAACTGAGCAACTGAGCAACTGAGCAACTGAGCAACTGAGCAACTGAGCAACTGAGAAACTGAGCAACTGAGCAACTGAGCAATGCGTTTAATCCCTACTACCAATCCTTACCAGCAGTGTGCCTAAGCTCTCCATGAGCGTCATCGCCATGCCACCATAGGGGTTGGACCCAGAGCAACTGGCAGTCAGAAAAGCACGGGAAACGAAGGGTTGAAGGTGATTTTTGAGTCGACTCAACAATCAAAGCGCGGGAAACGAAGGGTTGAAGGTGAGGGGTGGTAGTGGTGGGAGCAGAACGGTGAGGGGAACGAGAGGAGAGAGTGGTTGTACTGGAAAAGAAACGCTGACAGGTGAAACGCTGACAGGAGAAGCGCTGACAGGAGAAACGCTGACAGGAGAAGCGCTGACAGGAGAAGCGCTGACAGGAGAAGCGCTGACAGGAGAAGTGCTGACAGGAGAAGCGCTGACAGGAGAAGCGCTGACAGGAGAAGCGCTGACAGGAGAACTGCTGACGTGGTAGAAGATATGCACCTGAGGGGTTTCAGCTCGTCCTGCGGAAAGGCGAACCGCTTGTAGCCGTCATATGCATGGTAGAACATCTCCTGTACTTGCAGTCTGGAGAGGGGGGTAAGGGGAGTTGGGAGCACGTGGGTTTAGGGAAGCAGGTGTGTAGGAGGGAGGATGGAGGGAGAGCGCTGTCATATGCATGATAGGACATCTCCTCCACTTGATGCCTGCGGGGAGCAGGGGGGAAAACTTAGTAAGGAGAGATGGTGCATGTGCATGTCAGGCTCTTAAGGTGTCTGGAAGACTAGTTTTGAAGCGCCTCAAATCTGGAAGACAGTGAAAGGAGGAACGCCAAGCCGTGCATTGGGAGATAACGGCAGGTCACTCACCTTGTAACGGCAGATCACTGACCTTGTGACTTTCAAATCAGTTACATTCAGATCAGTAACATTCAGCTCACGTATACTCGCATCTGCTGCAGGATAATAGAGTGACAGGAGAGAAGCCATGATGAAGAAATCCAAGCCATGTTGTGAGAGCGAAAACCGAGCCACTGACCTCATAGCTGTCACATTCACTTCAGGCACACCAGCTTGTGCTTCAGGCGAGCTGGAGTCTTCGTCCATTATCGCAGCCTCTGATTGTGTCACACTCGGCTCCGATTCACTCACTCCCATCTCCCGTTCAGGCTCCTCCGTTTCTCTCTCCTTCTGTGCCGTCTGATCGTCACTGGTCGCAGCGCTAGGAGCAGCAGCAGCGCCCGAAGCAGCAGCAGCGTCCGCAGCAGCACCACCAGTAGCAGCAATGTCAGACGCAGCAGCAGCGCCGACAGCTACACCAGTCTTGCCATCTGCTTCTAATTGCGGATCGTGTTCCTGGCATGCTGATTGGGTGCTCGCACAAGCACCACGATTTCCGTGCCCTTGCCACGCGGACGCTGCCGGTTGGTGGACTAGCAGCAGCACTGAGAGCAGCAGCAGGATAAGGACGAATCTTCGCGGAAGCGACATTGGGAGGGTGCTTGAGAGCCGTCGACAATCAACAATCAAATCCTATCAGCAATCCAATCAGAATCCTGATTGAGGCGGAACATGTCGGATTGCGTGTTTCACGGGATGACGTGGCAGTAACGCCGCTCCGAATGTAGTTGCACCACGTCAGCTCTTTACGTATGAGGTTGCTATCAACGCGTTACTACAGTAAATGTCCGATCAGCAGCCCGCTTATCATTTGCGGTGGAATATTATTTTTTATGGAGAATTGATGGAATCCGGAAATGAACGGAATTCGCGATCACATTACCGCCCTCTGACGACTGATGAACAGCTAGCATTGAGAGGGGCACCAACTATTAGCACCTAGCTCTGAAATGTGACAAACGTGTTGCGTCAAAGATCGCGAGCACCACGAAAGAGGATCCGACAGCGTACTAACGCCGGCAAAACGCTCATTCAGAACATGAAAGAATGGAAACTTGCCTTCCTGATAAACTGTCAGGAACCATGAAAGTCGCCGACGATCGGCATTTCCAAGGTTTGCGGGAAGTGGCTGAAATTGATGCATCAAGGTTCTGAGATCGTCAAGAATGGGTGGAGTGCTTGCGATTTTCGCGAAAGCCGGATTTCCCTTGCCGATGTTCGCGAAATAAAATCTTGCCCTTGCTCAGAACGTTCGCACTAGATAAAATTCTGTCGTCACCTTTCGCCAACGGGTTCGGTCGGAACTGTTTTGTACGGCTGGATTTCGTATGGGTGTGAGCCAAACGCTAACCGACGCTTTCTTTTGACCATCATCATTGTAAAAACGTTGCTTCATATGGTTCGGTATGTGGCTAGTGAACCAACTGGGACATTATTTTAGAAACGAGGGTTTAGAGTAGTTTATGCTAGATTGAGCCCAGGAAGTAATGTAGCCATTTATGCGTCACTTCGGTAAATGGAGCAAAATACAGGAGGCACATGAAATGTCTCCATGGTGATCAGACATGCCGCTGTTCCTGCAATTATGTACACCGCACAGCGTCAGGTGATGGCTGCTCCCCCCAGCATGGGACAAGCCCCGAGGCACCTCGTTCCAAGAACGAAAACCGCTGGCAGAAACAGGAACCGCGGCATGCCCACCACTCATGTAATAACAACCTGCTGGCTGAATAATGAACCTACAGCTAATAACGAAGATCGGTGCCAGCCTGAAGAACCTAACACGATGGCGGCGAAAATCGGCTCCAGAGGGTCTGCTGCAGCGGCTGAAGGCTGTGAACGAATGCGAGCGGATCAGATCGAGCAGATGACGCGTGGGGGAGAACGGCTGAGATGACCCCGAGATGTTCCAATCGAACGGATGAGGCGCGGCTGTGGCGATCCAATCAGAGTGAGCGGATGAGGCGAGCGGCTTCGTAGCAGTGAGCCGTGGCGAGGGCGAGAGTGGAGGCGCGTGGGGGTCGCTCGTGCGCGGAGCGGATGCCGTCAATGTCCCTCTCGAGCTCCGCTAGGCACCGCTCCACCTGCATCTCCTTCTCGCACCACCTCTGCCCGCCTTGCACACCCTGGTAACAGAACGACGAACACGACGCGAATAAGAGAAACTGTCAGGAAAAATGCTACTTGCGGGAACACACGAGAGGAAACCGGTTTCTCCGCAGCGTCACGCATGGAAGTCCAGATCTGACAACAGCAAACATCCAGCTGCACGCGACTTCCAACAGTATAGGTACTCACGTGAACGGGGTGACCGAGCAGCGCGTTCAGTCCAAGATGAACCCGCTCAACCACCGTCGCACCCGCTGCTGCGAGAGAGTCGCCCGACACTACAGCGTCGCCGGATTGCCCGTTGCGACCGTTCGCCTGGACGTGCTGCAGCATGCGACCGTACGACTGCAGGAACTGCGACATCGCCTGGTTCGATGGGAAAACCGGCGTCGGCGGGAGAGACTCGGTCGGGTAGCCGGAGTAATAGCCGGTGGAACTAGTCGGCGCCGGAATCCCTAACGCCATGGCGTTGGTAGCGACGGATCGGGAAGGGAATGAGGGGGACGACGGGGAGGACGGGGAGGCGTCGGCTCTAGGCGTGAAGCGGAAGGTGGTGGGCCGTGCGACTGAGATGGTGTTGCAAGCGTCGCTGAGACGGGATGGCTTCGAGAGAGTGGTGCTCGACGGAACGCAGGTGCGAGCGAGAGTCATCGAGACAGCGGCCATTGGATCAAATAGATTTAGGACTAAGAGTATTCAACAGAGGCAGATGCTGGATGGTGACGACTGAAGGTAGATACTGTATGTTGCTAAAGACTGCTGAGAGAAGGTTGCTAGCTGCTTGTTATACAATGGCTGACTAGCGATTGGGGTATTTATTCTTCTTGGAGTGAAGAAACTCAACTGTTGCCACTGCTGCGTTGGACCAGGAAGTGCGGAGAACGAGTGGGAGGTGAAGGGTGAGGCAGAACAACAGCAGAACAGAGGTGGAGGGCGCGTGGCTCGCTCGGAGGTGGAGGTGTGCTGTGCCTGGCGAAGTGCCTTGCAAGGAAGAAAGGATGGTGGGTGGATGTCGGAGGAAACTCCGTGTTCGGGTTTGGTTAGGTGCATGTTTGTGCGGTGGTGGAGTGTTATGGGCGGTTGTATTTGCGCCTAAATTATGGCCCTTCTGCTTCTATGCCACCAACCATTTCGCGAAACTCGATGCGAAACGCCATCAGGGGGACCACCCGTGGTGCACGAAACAAAACGCACCGTCGCACGAGCGACCTGTGCCCCGCCACGGGATTTAGCTGGTGACGTGTCACTCACTTGCGGGGACGCGGCATTTCTTGAGTGACGTGTTGTGGGGAAGCTGCTTGCGAGGGGGCCGCCAGCCTGATTGGTGCGGCGCGTGATCGTTCTCTGGTTGTTGAGTGGAGGAGAAGTTGCGTGTTATCTGCGACTTGATCGAGTCTGACGACGATTAGCCAACGGCTTTCCAGAGAAAGAGCCTTGATGAGGTGGAAGGGCCAAGGCCACGCAAAAGCGGGAACCATCCAACCGGCGAAGTGTCCGCGAATCGGCACGGAAGCGGCCAAAGCTTATCCAATCAAACAGGGTAAAATTCCTTGGCATGTGGCCGCCTGTGCTGCGCTGGCAGATTGAAACATTTACCTTCGCGCCGCATCCATCTGTGGCTGAGCGCCACCCTGATCCTACGCAAGTGGCTGTCCGATGCCCAGAAAAGCGAGTTGATCGGTCGGTGCTGATCGTGCGCCTCCGGAAAGCAAGGAAATGATCTCTCATCAGCCAGAGGAACACACGATGCATATTCGCAATATTAGCACAAGACTACCAGCTATAGGCACAATTGCAGGTTACAAAGTATGATGCATTTGCAGTACATTAGTCCTCGTGAAGTTCATGTGTATTTGTTTTTGTACTAGTTCATATTTTGTAAAAGGTGTTTTTCTATCGGGTACGCCGCCCTTCTCCTGATGCCTTTTCATTCCCTCCAAAACTCCCTCATTTTCCCATCCGCTCGGCTCTGACTGAAAACCAAACCAGCCATGGCCGCCGTTATTCCGAGTCGCATTGACCCCACTTTCAGGTCCGTCCGCCGCGTCGCATCGTCCTTCACCTCATCCATTCATTTTCTTCCCCTCATTCAACTCACCTGAACTCACAATGCCCCTGTCGAACCTCCCAGCGAGCTTCGTGAAACTATCTTCCCACCATTCATCTAATCCGTTAGGGCTGTTTGCCGCGTAACCGAGCCTTGGTCGTAAAAAAAATGAAAACGTGCGCCTCGTATGCGTCGTCTCGCGTTAGTATTTTTGTATTCCGCGGCGTGAACCCGCCCACGCAGCGGCGACTAGGTTTGGCGGTGGGAAACGAATTCAATTTGTTTAGCGACCAATCAGTGGCTGAGAAACAAATTCAATTCCTCTAGCGACCAATCGGTGGCTGGGGATACGAATTCAACTCCAGTAGCGACAAGAAATCGGTCAGTGGGGTTTCAGCCATCAGCCAGCATTGGCGGTGTTGGCTTTCAGTCCTTCCTTTCCTTCCCACCACGCCCGCTCGCCCAGCCTCATCCACCGCGTGCTCCCTCCAACGCACATGCCACTTTCTCTAGCTTCCTCTTTCAGTTGTCTCCAGAGAAATCAGGTGAAAGTTAGAGAAATCAGATTAGACGGCGGCACTCATCCTCTCCGTCTAGGCTATTCGTTCTATCTCGCTAGCAGAAATTCGAGGCGTATCATCGTATCGTGCAGCCAGCTACGAGGCCCGCTTCGCCATGGCTGCTCACGTCACCATCTAGCGAAGTCGTCGGAGCAACGCCGGGAAACGCACACGCCGAGAGTTCTCGCCAGCCTCGGCGTAACGCGGAAGGACGCTTTCTGCTTCTGACGGGATCGAGGCATGTCGCATAAGTTCTCCGCCGTTCAGCCGTTCGCGTCGCAGCCGTGGTCGATGGCGATGAAAGGCTCCGATCCGCTCAGCTCGAGTCGAGCGCGGCGTTACGTTTTCCGCCACCGCCGCTTCGGTAGGCTCTCTTAACGAAAATCGTCGTCCTTTCTGGTGTTTTCGTCGTTTTCGTCGTTCTTGTCTTGATCGCGCTTGCCCGTTTCATAGGACCTGCCAGTTTCTGCGATGGTTGTCTTAGCCTATTTCTCTTCCTTTTCTCTCGCCGACTTGCAGCTTCTTGCACGACTTGCGGCGAGGACATCACGTCCGTCGGTAACGTGTCGCAATCGTCGCAACCGCCGCGCTTCCGTCTCATCCGTCGCGCTTCCGTCGCAATCGCCGTTGCAATCGTCTCAGCCGCTGTGACGGGTATGGCGGCCCGCTTCACATGCCGTGGTCGGACTAACGCGGAAAGGATAGTTCCGCCGCCGACGTGCTCTTTAAGAAATGCCTCGGTAAGTGGTGGGAAATCGCTTCTGGGGGAGCGAGTAGGCGTCCGCCGCATAGCGCGTCTCCCGTCTCGTTTTCCTAGAGTCATCTCTCTCTTGCGGCTCCTAACTCCCTCTGTCGTGCGTTCTGTTTCTGTTTCTATTTGCGTGCATGCGCATGTGACTGCGCCGCATGATGCGCATGTGACTGCGCCGCATGATCGCGTGTCTGCATACGGCTGCTGCGCCGTTGACGGGACATCCATGATCCGTCCCCCGTGGAGCCATCGAGTCAACGTCAACGTGACCCCGCTGCTCACGCGCGCGCGCGCCTCCGTTGACTCGAGAGGAATCGACTCCAGCGGAATCGACTCCAGCGGAATCGCCTCCAGCGGAATCGCCTCCTTCCGCCGCGTTCGGTCGTCTCGTTGCTAGCGATCGTTCCGTTTCCGGTAAGTGGTGGAATTTTGCTACTGGGGGGGCTGAGTAGGCGTCCGCCGCGTAGCGCGTCGTCAGACCTTTTCGTTCCGTTTGAGTCATTCATATCTTGCGGCTAAAAACGCACTCGCATTCATATCTTTTCGTGTTTCCTAAATCTGTGTGCGTGCGAATGCGCCTGCGCGTGGAGGCATACGGCTGCTGCCTCGATCGACCTTGGAGTCGTATCATCACATCAAGACATTGACGTGGTGGCGCGCGCGCGCGCACGCCGCTTGACTCCGCTGCAACTCGGAGTCGCCGCGGTGAGTGGCGGAGACGCGCCAGAGGGGGGGCGAGTAGGCGTCCGCCGCATAGCGCGTCGCTAGTCCGTTTCGTGCTGCTTTGAGTCAGCCCTCATTCTGATACTAACTCACTCTTCCTTTCGTCCTTTCTCTATTTGTTGCGTGTGTGCACATGTGACGGCGTGCGGATGCGTCCGCGCATGGCCGGGCATGCGGCTGTTGCCTCGACCGAGCTGTGGACTCGTCTTGTCGCATCAATCCCGGCGTAAGACATTGATGTGGTACTGTAGCACGCGCGCGCGCTCGCCGCTTGACTCCAGCGGACTCCGCTGCAACACGGAGTCGCTCCGGTAAGTGGCGGGGACGCGCCAGAGGGGGGGCGAGTAAGCGTCCGCCGCATAGCGCGTCGTTGGTCCGTTTCGTGCCGCTTTGAGTCTCTCTGTCCTTCCCCCGGCTAACGAACTCCCTTTCGCTTTCGTGCTACTGCTTTTGTGCTGCTCGCCTGCATGTGGTAACCACACTGCGCTTCGCGCGTGCGCCTGGTGGGGCTGTTGGGGCAAAGCCAACCTCACAATTCCGTGTGCGACCTTACGCGGTGTGCGACTTGAAGCCGTGTGCGACCTGCTACGTCCCCAACAACTTGCGGTGTGCGATGAAGCGATGAGCTTGCGAAGACTTCAGGCGAACAACGCTGGACGAATGCTGAACTGTAGAAGGTTCGTTTCGTTCGACGCTCCCCAAATTACTTTCGCTAACCAATTTCGTTCCCAACGTATTTCTTCGCCCAACATTTTCTTCGCGATCCAATTTCTTCGCGAATCAATTTCTTCGCCCACCCTTCCCTCGTCGCTCAGCCGCTTTGCTTCGCTGCTTGCCTGTTGATCGCACTCCATCACCCACCGTTTCACGAGCCTCGTTATTGTCACCCCTCTTTATTGCTGCACTTTTTTCCGCTCAGATTCGAGCGGCGATCGATGCCCCGCAGCGACTAGGAGGGATGGTCGTCCGCGCATCATCGCATGCCGCGAGGGTCGTCGGCGCGTCGTCGCACGGCGCGATGGTCGTCGCGTAGTCTTCTGCGCGTCGTCGCACGGCAACGTGTGGGCGGAGCCCCGCCTCTGCCCCTTCCCTCCCTCCTCTGCCCGGTAAGCGCATGCGCCCAGCTGTAGGGGGGGCGAGTAAGTCACTGCCTAGGCTGCCGCTGCAGCAGCACGGTAAGCGAGTCGCCGTCTCGAGTCGCCTTCGTGTTTCTCTGCTCGAGTCGTTTTCTCTCCACGCGCTCGCGCTCACAACTGCCTCTGTGCGTGCGTGTGGTGCTGGGCGGCTGCTTCCTGTTCCCTTTTTTTGGGGGGGGGCGGGGTGGAGAGCCTCCTCCCCACCCCCCGCCTGCTCCTCCGCCCCCTCCCCTCCCCCCTCCCTCCCCCCCCCCTTTCCCCCCTCTGCCGTAAGCTGAGGGGAGGGGCATGCGCGTGGGGATCAGTCAGCGCCACCAACGCTCTTCCTCCCTCGCCCCTTGTGGCTGTGCTCTCGGATGGATGGAAGGGGCGGGGGGGGGATTCGCATGCGCGTGGGGATCAGTCAGCGCCACCAACGCTCTTCCTCCCTCGCCCCTTGTGGCTGTGCTCTCGGATGGATGGAAGGGGCGGGGGGGGGGATTCGCATGCGCGTGGGGATCAGTCAGCGCCACCAACGCTCTTCCTCCCTCGCCCCTTGTGGCTGTGCTCTCGGATGGATGGAAGAGATGGCATTTGGGATTCTGCTGCAAGGGAGAGTATCTGGGGTGGGCTTGCCTGCTACAGGTAAGGCCCCTTCTTAGCTGCTAGCTACTGCTAGCTACTGCTAGCTACTGCTCGCTACTGCACTTTCTCTCATTTCCCACCCAGTATCCCCTTTCTCTCAAAATGCTGCCACTGGTTGGGGCCCGGCTCGCAGGTCACAGACCCCCCCCCTCCGCCCCTCAGGTTCAGCCCCCCTAAAGCCTTACAGCCCCCCCCCCCCAGGTCACCCCCTCAGGTTCAGCCATGGGGTCTGTGGCTTGTGGCATGCCTCCACCAGTGGCCCTCGCCCTGCTTGCTCTCCTTCCAACATTGCTTGTTGGTTCCAACGTGTTGGTTTCCGTCTGGTTACCTCTCTTTCTTGAGCTAACTATCCTCCTCCTCTCCCCCCCTCCTCACCCTCCCCTCCTTCCTCCCCGCCCTTCCCCCAGCAGGGCCTCTGCTGACGCGGCTCTCTGAGCAGCAGGGAAGGGGGGGAGAGGTGGGAAGAGGGGGGGAGAGGGGAGGAGAGGGGAGGAGAGGGGAGGAGAGGGGAGGAGAGGGGAGGAGAGGGGAGGAGAGGGGAGGAGAGGGGAGGAGAGGGGAGGAGAGGGGAGGAGAGGGGAGGAGAGGGGAGGAGAGGGGAGGAGAGGGGAGGAGAGGGGAGGGGGGGGGGGGGGGGGCGTCTGTCTGACAACCACACTCAGCGTTGCTCCAGCTTCCAGCTAACTATCTCTAGACTGAGACTTGCATGCTGCTAGGAGCTACCATTGCTGCCTCGTTATTGTCACATGTCCTTCTGTGCTTTTGTCTCTCAAAATGCTGCCACTGGTTGGGGCCCGGCTCACAGATCACAGACCCCTCCCCCGGGCCCCCCTGCAGGTAAAGCCCTCAGGTTCAGCCCCCCTAAAGCCTTACAATCCCCCCCAGGTCACCCCCTCAGGTTCAGCCTTGGGGTCTGTGCCTTGTGGCCATGCCTCCACCAGTGCCCCCCTCCCTTGGTCTTCTCCTTTCTGCATCGCTTGCACTTGTCAGTTCTCACCTGCCTGCCACGCTTTCCTAGCCCTAAACTACCTCTCCCCTCCGCTCCCCCCCCACCCTCCTCTCGCCCAACGTCCGCCAACCCCCCCCCGACAGGGCTGGGCTGGGCAGGGCAGGGCAGGGCCTCTGCTGGCGGAACTGCAAGCGCCTGTGCAGTGGCTGCTGTGACTGCAGGGGGAAGGGAGGGGCGTGAAGTGGGTGCTGCTGTGAAGCGCTTGAGTGGCGGGAAGCAGAGAGGGCTGGGGCTGGGGGGTGCCAGGTGGCTGGGAGCACACAAGCAGCCAGCGGTCCAGCTGGGGTGCCAGCTGGCTGCCCTCCAGAGCGGTCCCTCTCTCGCCTCGCCTCTTGACTGCTTTCACTCGCATTCTTTGACTTCGTGCCACGCTCTGACATGTGCCCACACATGCCGCACCATCACTTGCTCTCACATGCCCACTCCTGCATGCGCGCCTCATCACTCCATCCATGCTGCATGCCTGACTTCCCCCCCTAAATCCGAACCACTTGCCACAGCCTAGGTCCGAACCCTCACTTGCCACAGCCTAGGTCCGAACCCTCACTTGCCACAGCCTAGGTCCGAACCCTCAATTGCCACAGCCTAGGTCACATGGTGCAGACCCCCCCCCGATTCCAGGTGCTCCCCCCCCCTTCCCCTCCAATCCTAAGGTTAAGCCAACCTTTATACCATTAAGACGCACTACATCCCTCCCCCCACCCCCATTGAGTCTGCACCGTGTTTCTAGCACTGCTCCAGTGGTCCCTCTCACCTGCCAACCCACCCCACCCCACCCCACCCCACCTCACCCCACCCCACCCCGCCCATCCACACCTCTCACGCCTCTATCCCTACCCGCTTACTCACTGCTCTACAGTCTTCCCCTTGCTGCTTGAGGGGAGGGGCGTGCGGGTCAACACCGCCACTCCCCGCACCCCTCCCCTTGTGGCCGTACAGGTGCCTCTGCTGGTGGGGACTCGGAAGGCGGGGGGCAGCACTCTACTCGGCTAAAGGGAGAGTATCGGGGCTGGGCTGGCCACGCATGGTGAGCACTTCAACAGTTTTTCTGTTGAGGGTTGAAGTGCTCTCAAACAGTTCAGCCCTGTTGTTTCCTTTGCCCACTGTGACTCACCTCGCTACTCCTCTCTGCCTATGCAGGTGCCTCTGGTGGTGGGCGAGGGAGGGAGGGGCGGGAGGGGGAGGGGAGCAGCACTTCACTTGGCTGCAAGGCATTTATGCTATGGCTAAGGCATGGGGGACACTTGGGGGGACATGGCGGCTAAGGCATTTATGCTACTAGTCGGCCATTCAAGGTG